TTTCACAGCGAATGGAAACATATTTTTGACACCAAAAAGATGTGAAGAACTAAAAATCTGTGAATTTTAAGACAATGGTCTTTTGGATTTGTACATCTAAAGCTCAGGTACTCTGCAATCCTTACACACTGCAAATTTTGACAGTTTTGCAAATTACCCCCTCCAACCACTACCCCCCCCCCACCGCCGGTACTTTATTTTAAATAACTAATAATTCTGTGAATAATATTGTAGTCTTGTCACACCAGAACTTACAATATACAGAGGCATAAAGCACCAGGAGTAGTCACGCTCTCTCGGATTAAATAGCTTCCCTCTGTTCCTTTCAGTCTGAATAAACTTTCACACTCTGTTTTGCTGATGCATCCGTGGAAACATGGCAGTGATTCTCTGACAGACATTGAGTTTGGATTTATCTAATGTCTTCTTTTAGAATCAGATGGGAAATCTTGACAGATTACTTCTGGCGGGAATCAGGAAATAAGAACATCACATTAACATTAAATTAATAAAGCATTTAAATGGACTCTGCGATTTATGAAAATGTACGAAGTCAATATGTAAATATGAAGGAAATACAGGAAGTCACAGAAATGTTCAGCTATGTTTTGCGTATTTACACCCTAATACTCTGGAACATCCTTTCTCTACACTTCCGCCTTCCTTCACGCCTGAAGACCTTCCTATTCGACCTTGTCTATGGTCATCTCCCTCTCCCCCGGCTCAGGGTCATGCTCCGCCACTGTCAAGAGTTCCCTGTGTGAGGAGCGCTGCGTAAATGCAAATACAACTTTTTTTATTTGATAGTATATCATTGAATCTATAACAAAATGCTACATTTTTTACCCAAATACCAGATAGAGGGAAGTGATTTTTTCACTTCAGCATGAGCGTAGAAATATATTTTTAAAAAATCTAGTTTTCTTTAGAGTATCCTCTGGAGCAGCTCGGGCCAAACTACGGCCCATGGAAATCACGCCATCCGAACATTTGCACTAGTCTAAGTAAGTCTGTATTCAATTGGTAGTGTTTTTTTTGGCATAAATCCAAAAATATTCAATCAAGAAAATTTTTTTTTGGAAGTATTCTGGTTTAATTCGAACGGTGGTTTGAATCTTGTACTTTTCTGTTTGTTTTGCAGTGTCATCGAGAAAAGTTAGTGAATCATTACCTTCCACAGATCTTGACAAAACGACCTCTCTCAAGAGTCACATGCATTGATTGTGAGGTTCCATGATGGTTTGGTACTTCTTGAGATCACACGAACAACTTGCATTTATATATCTTGACCAAGATCTCAATGTGTGAGTGAGCGCTGGTAAACTATTCAATCGTTAGGGCATCATAGTCGAGGCGGATTTTAAACAGGTACAGCAACCTTCATGGGCAACTTTCTGTCTAGTTCCCTCTAGGGTTTTGCCTTCATAGGGTAACTGGCACAGCAACCTCTGGCCGAGCTGAGATCCACATGGCTGGGCATTCAACTTGGGATCTTACTGGTTTCTATAGCCTGGCTCAGTTCGTGGCATTCTCGTCTCTCAGTCAGCGTGACCTCTTTGCTTTTATATTTTATATGCCTACTTATAAAACCTGAGATTCGGTTTTTTTTATATAGCTTTGTCCACCTGCCTTCCGTTTAAGTAATTATGTACATTAACCCTGAAATCCCTTTACTCTTCCACTCCTTTTAATACTTTACCAATATTAACCTTGATTGCACAAGTTCAGAGTAACTAAAATTCCGATATAATTCAGTATCCAGGAACCCAAAATGTTTTAATTTTTATAGTGTCCTTGATGTTTTGCATCATCCCCAGATACATATTATTTTACATTAAATTCACAATAAGTGAAACCCTGCTGTTTCTACAACAGTTGTTAAATAAAGCACAACAGAACAACTTACAACAAAAAGTGCAATAATTCAACAGAGTCTTGTAGTTTGAGGCCACTGCCTTTACTTGTAATTAGATTTTTTTTATATTTAAACTAGCTCTCGGTTAGAAATTTCACCTGTGTCCAGACTTACTTTATTTCTGAAGTATTTAAGAGAGTCCGGAATTTAACAAATTGTTGAATTCAGCGTTAACTTTAAAGTTAGAGTCAGTTTTCTCTAGTTCTTAAAAAGAACTAACAAAAAAAACTTCAAAATGAAAGCTTCCTTTTTAAAAAAAATTGCCAGATTCTGGATGCGCTGCATTGCTGCATATGTCGGGTAAATCTGGAACAGGTGGGATTTGTCCCTACCTATGTCATGGACATAGACTTATAGTGTGCAAATGGACTCTGCACTTGGCTACAACCGTAAGGTGACAGCAATTACTTGTAAAAGCCTTTGAGTCATTTTAAAATGACAGGTGCTAGGAATATTACTAATATTACTAGGAATGTGTCCTTGGCATCTAAGTCTAAATCATCCAATAATGCACACAAGCAGATATTTATCCTTTTTTTATGAAGGTATTAAGCGACACACCATAAACTGTTGTTATCTGTTGATAACAGATCCACATGCCAGGAACATTCGGTAAATGATCAATAATGACACGCAGATCTCTTTCCTTGTCCACTTCTTCTGATGGACACATTATACTACACACATATTTATTGTGCATTGTCCCAATAACATTTAGCTTGTATTTGAAGTTTATGTTTCCTATCCTAACTTTACCAAACTTCAGTCAATACAGGTATTTATCTGTTGAAGAGGAGTCCTTACCTTGTATGATATTAGCAGTGATCCTGTTTCCAACTCGCTCTTTATAAAAGTAGTAATACAATCAATAGAAAGCTTAAGAGCCTGTGTTCAGTTGTCAGTATTAATCTCCTTTTGTGCCTCTCGGTATTGAGTTAAACAGGAAGTCAAGTAATAGCTAAAAGAGAGAGGTCAAATTCATTCAACTTTGGGGAATGATGGAGAGATAATCATGACCCACAAAGCTAGACAGGCTAGTTTCCTGTAAAAGTCGACACGTCACGTCTTTGTTACTTCATGTACACTGCACATGAGAAGGTCAGTGACTGGTCTTGTGAGTCTATGAAACACCTGCATTGGAAACAAACTCGACTAAGAGCAAAACATCTTATAACGTTATTATCCCGTATTTGGAAGTTACAGCTCAGGACATCTCGTTTACGCCATGTGGTGTATCCACACCATTTAAAGAATCCCCCAAAATACCTTTTCAAATAAATCAGCAGTTTAAAGCACTAACTTTGAAGAAATGTCCACATGGGGGCAATCACATTCTGTGAACTCAAGAAAGTTATTATTCATTGTGGATATTATCCAATTATGGTGAACCCTGTGGATGTGAAACGATATGTTTGGAATGGAATGCACACTCTCTCCTGTTGCGTGATAGTACATTTAAATTAAAGTTATTTTGAGTTTGAATTGTATACATTTTACAGAATTATCAAATTGACCTCTCTGGTTGTCTGCCATTTAAATCCCACCACAAAGATACAACTCATAAATGCTGCTTATACAGAAGACAATGTTGTCCCCTTCCTCATACGTTAATTAAGCACAGTCTTCAGATTAATTGACGCAGAGCGGAATGCAGATGAAAATGTTATATGGGATTTTATGCATAACACCTTCCTGGGAAATATAAATGGGAAATACCAAGACCTGAATGAATAACTCTAACCATTTGGTGTAGCGCCGGGAGGTTGTCTCAAAGTGCTTCACAAAGTATATTGTGAAGTGTAGCCACTGTGTATTTGGAGGCGAATGCGGGCAGCCCAGTCATGTCCCACAAATAGCCATGAAGTGACTGACAAACTTTATTTGAGGGATTATTTTCCAGGACGCTGGGCGAAGTTTCCTTTTCTTTTCAGATCGTGCTTTGGGATCTTTAATGTCCATCGGAACAGGCAGAGCTCGGTGTAACAGCTCATCCAAATGGATATCAGCCGAGACTGGAATGTCAACCTGGACTATGCGAGTTCAAAGTCTTGAATACTAACATTAGAAGGAAACATATCTACGCAATGACCCTCCGCCCCCCACGTATCTTTGAATGGAGTCCTGTAGCTCAGTGGTTAGAGCACTCGCTTTGCAAGTGAGAGACCTGAGTTCAATTCCAGGCAGGTCAGGGGGAAACCTTGGGCAAGTTTCCTTACTCCACACACCTAATAATAATCCCTCCAAAACCAAAAACAATAATAAATTGGTCATTTTCAATCTACGTCTGTTTGTGGGACATTGCTGTGCGCAATTGGCTGCCGCGTTCGCCCACAAATATACAGTCAATTCACTTTACAGTGTGTTCTGTGAAGCGCTTTGGGACGTCCTCCCGACGTGAAAAGCGCTATACAAATGCAAGGATTATTATTATTATTATATCAAATGTAAGGATTATTATTATTATTATTATTATTGACGTGGGGTTGGAACGCACAGCCTTGTGACTCGGAGGTGAGGGTGATACCGGCTGAGCCAGGCTGGGAGAAGACCAGAAATTTACCAACTGTCGCACTCAGTGCCGTTCAGCGTAAATGTGTGCGAACAGTGATTCGCAGAAAAATCTACTTTAATTCCACATACATGGGTCAATCCGTCTCTCTGGGCTGCGATTGGCTCCTTCTCGCTCTGTGTGCTGTGATTGGCTCTCTCTGTGTGTGCTGTGATTGGCTCTGTGTGTGCTGTGATTGGCTCTGTGTGTGTTTGTGCTGTGATTGATCTCTCTGTGTGTGCTGTGATTGGCTCTGTGTGTGCTTGTGTGTGTGCTGTGATTGGCTCTCTCTGTGTGTGCTGTGATTGGCTCTGTCTGTGTGTGTGCTGTGATTGGCTCTGTCTGTGTGTGTGCTGTGATTGGCTCTCTCTGTGCGTGTGTGTGTGCTGTGATTGGCTCTGTCTGTGTGTGTGCTGTGATTGGCTCTCTCTGTGCGTGTGTGTGTGCTGTGATTGGCCGCCTCGTCTCCCTGCGCTGCGGGGAGGGGACGGACGGACGAACGAACGGACCTCGGGCGAGCGGCTCGTCTGCGGCTGGTCGGCGGTTTGGAGGCTCCCGCGGGTGGGGGGGGAGTGGGGGGCGGCCTCCCCGTGTGTGACTGGTCCTGGGCCCCGACTTAGCCTCTGTGACTGATTGGGGGAATCTTTTACCCGAGTCAAGTGATCCCGGGAAACGAAACTGAACTGTGGGCCACGTAACCGTGTGCGGTGCGGGTGACCGACCGTAGGCCCTCAGCCCTCAGCCCTCGTTACAGCCACAGCCACAGCCCCAACACCTCGAATTGGGGAGAAGAGGTAAAGCGGGTTTGGGTTATTTTTGTTTTCGTTGTGTGTGTGTGTGTGTGTGTTTTTTTTTGGAGGGGAGGAGGAGGGGTTTAATCTCTCTGCGTCGTAAAATAAAAATAAAATTAAAAATAAAAAATAAAAAGAAGCTTTTTTTTTCCCCTCTGGTCATCCGACCGCAGGACCTCGTCGCGCGTACTGTTGAGCGTAAAGCGTCGTCACGGCGACGGCGGCGATGGCGATGCTCTCGCCCTTTGACCCCGGGGGCCCCCTCCCTCGCCCACGGTGGTTTCGAGACGGCCCCGCGAGCTGAGGGCGAGTCGCAGGCCGGGGCTCGCGTGAGTCGCGGTGGAGGGGGGGGGGGGGTGACCTGCGCGACTGACTGCGTGGGTGGTGGGCGGGGTGGTGGTGGTGGTGGTGCGGGGGGGCACGACGCCGAGGCCGCCACGTTTCGCCCACGAAACACCCGGTCGCCGCAGTTCGCGGTACGTTCTGTGAAAGGGCACTGAGACGGCGTCTTCGCCGCTTCCTCCCTTTCCTCCTTCAAGGCCGGTCTCAAGACCTTTCTCTTTGACCGAGCCTTCAGCTCCCCTCTCGACTCTCTTCCCCCTCCTCGCTCCCTCCCTCCCCTCCCCTCACCCTGACCATTTCCCTCCTCGCTCCCTCCCCTCCCCTCACCCTGACCATTTCCCCCTCCTCACTCCCTCCCTTCCCTCCCCTCACCCTGACCATTTCCCCCCTCCTCGCTCCCTCCCTTCCCTCCCCTCACCCTGACCATTTCCCCCCTATTCCTCGCCCCCTCCCCTCACCCTGACCATTTCCCCCCTCCTCGCTCCCTCCCTTCCCTCCCCTCACCCTGACCATTTCCCCCTGCTCGGGTCATGACCCAACTGTGCAGCGCCTTGGGACGTCCTCCTGACGTGAAAGGCGCTTTATAAATGGAATCTTGTTGTTGTTGTTGTTGTCTCGATCACGTGATAAGGCTCTGTAACAAACGCGAGGACTATTATATTGTACCGTAGACTGATGGCGCTCTTAAATTGACCCGTCACGCTGTTCGTCTGCAAGTGGAAAATTCCCGAACAAAGGTACCGCTGTACCATCAACTGTAATTTTGTTGATGATTGTACGCCTGTGAGTTTGCTTGTTGCTGTCATTCCATACTTTGGGGTGGGTCCCCCAAAATTGTCATGTACGTTTCAGCCACTGGTACCTTAACACCTTTTTGTGACCGAACAGGCAATTTTTTTTCCTGTTTTTTGAAAGCTCTGGAACTCTGTCCCGCAATCCGTCCGCCTCACCCCCTCTCTTGCCTCCTTCGAGACCCGTCTGAAGACCTTCCTGTTCGACCATGCCTTTGGTTCCCCCCTTCCCACCCCCTGCCTTCATCCCCAGCTGACCCCAACTCCCAGCTTGGGTCCAAACCCCTAATTGTCCAGCCCCAGGGACGTCTTTCCGACGTGAAGGGCGCTATACAAGTGTCATTTGTTGTTGTGTTATTGTAATAATAATTATAATAATAATCCTTCCATTTTATTATGTTATTATATTATTATAATCCTTCCATTTGGTAAGCGCTTTTCACATTTTTATTTTTATTATTATAATATTATAATCCTTCCATTTGATATAGCGCTTTTCATGTCTTCTGGACGTCCCAAAGCGCTTCACAGAATATACTGTAAAGTGAATTGTCTGTATATTTGTGGGCGAAACAAGGCAGCCAATTGCACACAGCAGTGTCCCACAAACAGTCGTGGATTGAAGTGACCAATTATTGTTTTTTTTTCTTGAGGGATTATTATCAGGGGTGTGAAGTAAGGAAACTTGCCCAAAGTTTTGCCCTGCTGGGAATTGAACCCAACTGAGCTACAGGGCTCCTGTATTACAGGTTATTATAGGCCAACCTATTATAGGTTGGCAAGAGCCAAGGCTTGGGGACCCCAGGGTGTGTGTTGGGGTACTGCTGGAGTTTTAATCAACAAAAAACGCATAGCTTACCATTGATATTGCTGTCCAGCAAATTTTTCCGCTGCTTGTCCAACGAGAACCAACCTACCCATTAAGGTTTTGGCTTGCAGAGTTAAAAGGAACAGACAACTACTCCTCTATCCCTTCCGCAACATTTGGTTCGGCCAACCTTAATTGTTGTGAACTGGATGTGGATGCGTAAGCATTATTCAGTTGTATTCTTTAACTACCACTTATATAAATAAACATGTTAATGTGAATTAATAAACATTGATAAATTGTGAACAAGATTTGTGTCCAGTTTTGCTTCACTGCAGGGTTACCTATGAATTTGGACATCTTACAGTTAGACCTGATTCATGCTGCAGTCTTTTCCTTATCTAATGTCCTTGCTTTTGCTGGTGCAATCAGGTAGAAAATGAATTTTCAAATAATAGACGGTCTTTGTTATGTGAGAAGTAAAACAAGGAAATGATATATGTGAGACAAGCCAGGAGGCCTTGTGGTTAGAATTGAAGAAAAAGCCGAAGTAAACAAGTCAGATATAAATGTAGGAAAGCAGGCAGATCGAAAGCACGGTCAAAAAGGAGGGTCTTGAGGTGGGTCTTGAATGTGGCGAGGGAGGGGGAGAGACGGAGAGACTGCGGGATGGAGTTCCAGAGGGTGGGGGCAGAGTGGCGGAAGGCCCACCTGCCGATAGTGGGGCGAGCAAGGCGGGGGATGTGAAACAGGCCGGAGCCCGCTGAACGGAGGGAGCAAACAGGGTGGTAGGGGGTTAGGAGGTCAGAGAGGTAGGGGGGAGCAAGACCATGGAGGGGTTTGAGGGTGAGGACCAGGATCTTGAACTGTATCTTTTGGTGATGGGAAGCCAGTGGAGTTGGGCAAGGATGGGGGTGATAGGGTCGCGGAGCCTGGTGCGGGAGAGGACACGGGCTGCAGAGTTCTGGATGATCTGCAGCCTGTGGAGGGAGGAGTTGGGGAGGCCGACAAGCAGGGAGTTTGCATAGTCGAGCCTCGATGTAATGAAGGCATGTTTGAGGGTTTTGGCGGCCTGTATATATGTGTATGAGGGTTATAAGGCGTGTGGAGTAAGGGAACTTGCCCAAGGTTTCGCCCTGTTGGGAATCGAACCCAGGTATCTCGCTTGGAGGTGAGTGCTCTAACCACTGAGCTGCAGGACTCCTAAACTAGTTTTGCCTTTTCTTGCATAAAAGCAAATGTGCAGAAATAAGGTGATTGTCGGAAAGTAGAAAAATCGGTCTGTGTCGTTTGGTAGGAACTGTGGCCTCTTGCCTCCAACAACTTATTATTTTCCAAAATATTGGTGGAAAGTTATTTTGGAATATAAAGGTGGCTACAAAATTCCATTAACATAGGAATGTTGTTCTAATTTCTATTAATTGTAGTTGTAAGGAAAGAGTTAAGGTGCTGATTCTGGAAAAGTACTAAAGACATTGATGCTTGTCACTGTAGGATAACCGAACTTCAAGGCCGTTTGGTTTATCTCACAGATACCGATTCCTTGATTTTACTTCTCACCCCCACAGATTATTGTACAAGAAACAAGAACTGTAATACTGCACTTTTGTGGTGAGAACACTGCTGACATGTATGCAAATGTGATTTATAGATGGTTAGAAAAATAAGATCTCCGCACACAATCGCTTCCACGTGTGCTCTCTGCACACAATCGCTTCTCACTGCTTGTGGGCCTCCCCAACTCCTCCCTTCCACGCTTCCACAACCGCTTCTGCTGGGTAGAAATAGAGTGTTCGTGGAAGTGAGCATCTGATCTGAAGTATTTCTATCCTACAGATTGTAAAACACTTGTAAAAGTTGATATTATTGTGGCAAAAATCAAAGAAACATACTGCACAAATATGGACTATGAGGATAATGGAAAGCCAGATTGGTTGGCGGTAAGTCAGAATCTTCATAGCTTTTGACATAATGTACTATAATGCTTAGATCCACATTGCGCTATTGTGACAGTATAACTATTGATGAAAGTTCAGATATTACAGTAATATGTGAAGTATTATTGGTGAGTTATCTTAGCATAAATTGGTGCTTGACATAAATTATTTATGATGCATTATTGGTGTTCTGTTGTACTGCTATGCATTTTGCCTATAATGGAAAATTACTGAATATTTGTCCTGCTTAATTTCTAAGTCAAATTTTGCTGAAGATTGTACTCATGTACCTTTTGTAACCTTGCTAGAAATAAGTAATGTCTGTCTTTTTCTTATCTAATGTCCTTGTTTTGTCTGGGAAAAATGGATGTATAACCAGTTGGTCTTTGTTAGGTGAGGATATCGAGGATTTACCAGAATGGTACCAGGGATGAGGGACTTTAGTTGTGTGGAGAGACTAGAGAAGCTGGGATTGTTCTCCTTAGAGCAGAGAGGGTTAAGGGGAGAATTAATAGAGGTGTTCAAAATTATGAGAGGTTTTGGTAGAGTAGAAAGGGAAAAACTGTTTCTACTGGTAGGTGGTTCGGTAACCAGGGCACATAGATTTAAGGTAATTGGCAAAAGAACCAGAGAGGCGATAAGGAGAATGTTTTTTTACACAGACAGTTGTTACAGTCTGGAATGCACTGTCTGAAAGGATGGTGGAAACAGATTTAACAACAACTTTTAAAAGGGAATTAGATAGGTACATGATGGAAAAATTTGCAAGGATATGGGGAAAGAACGGGGGGTGGAACTAATTGGGTTATTCTTCCAAAGAGTCGGCACAGGCACGATGGGCCAAATGGCCTCCTTCTGTGCTGTAATATTCTATGATTCTAGGAGTTAAAGCAAGAAAACAGTATCTATGGGGTAAACCAGATGGTCTTGTAGTTAGAGTTGAAGGAAAGGTTGTAAAAGCTTTTATTTGTTCATGTGTATAAATATTAAGACAGGGTCAAAAAGGAAAATCTTAAGATGGGTCTTGTAGACCTCAAAGAGGTTAAATTAGTGGTCATTTCAGAAGATCTTCATTAGCACTGGAGGTTTTTTTAAGCTTTTGTGCGGGAGTGATCAGGTGAAAATTGAACAACATGATGTTTATCAGCCAAATTTCCAGCTAAGACATAAACCATTTATAAAAATAGTCAACTAAGATGTACTTTAAATGAGCCACAAGATTTTTTTTCGCCTTGCAGATCGCAATGAATGAATATGTTGAAAAGTGTAAGAATCTTCCAGATCCTATAGGAATCTGCCAATATTCTAACTGCAAGAAAGAAATATATACTTCTGACCCTGATTACAAGGTACATTATCTTCTTCAAAATAGACAATTTGCATTCAATTAGATATGGTTCTCTAGTGCCTGTTATTTCTTAATGCCATTTGTACACTAATTTGCTACAAGGAAAGATTATTCACAAACAGCTGGTGTAGATATATTATAATGGGATCATCCTCCGAATGTCTTTACTGTTCAAGGCAAACTGGAGTGAAAGCAACTTTTATTATGGTAAACCTGTAGTTTTGCACATTGTACCTTTTTTTGCGCAGAAATGTATTGGAGGCTGGGAAATTGATTTATATTTTTTATTTTACTTAAACATTTTCCCACTGTAATGAACTCATCAACTTGAGTACTTCTCCATTGCTGTTCCACGCTTGGGACTCACAACTACTACATTCGGGCATGTTAGCACTCTCCAAATCTTGCAGCTCAGTAGAGATGCTATGCTTTGTGCGAGGGAAGTATCCCGCCATTCACCCCGGATCAGAATTGCTGAAATCGGATCTGTGCTGTTGGATTAAATGCTGTAAAACTCTGGAAATGAGTGCATAGTATTATGTAGGGAGCCTTTTCAGTGGTGCTTTGACAAAGCTGCAGAGGTTTCAGAAAGCAATCCCATTCCTATCAGCCACGTGAACTGGGTTGGACTACCTCAAGTCTCATTGATTTGTGAGCCAGACTCCAAATGCAAGTGGACAAAGAATCATGGCAGTATCCTCCTTAAATGTTCTGCGTTCCCCATCCTAACAGTACCAAACAAGATTTTATAATATGGGTCATTTGAAAACCCTCCAGATGCTAATCTTGATCTGTTGAACTTAATTTTGTTGCTCTTTTAGGGATATGTTGAGCTTTTGTGTGATAGAGGGTGTGTGGTAAAATATCATACAAGCTGCTGGAAAAAAATGAAGGATTCTCAATATCCAGGGCAAACCAACCGGGTAAGCAGTGTTGTTAAACTAATTTATAGTCACATCTGTTCTGTCTTGTTCATGTCTCCTCCTATTAAGGCTTCTCCTTATCTTTCCTTGGAAGGTGAAAGCAAGAGCCTGATCTGACATTCCACACGAGTGCAGCTAACTGTGTTGCTAGAACAACAACAAATTATACTTGCATAGCGCCCTTCATGTTGAAAAGACCTCTCATGGCGCTGGGCAGTCGGGTTTTTGGACATGAGCTCGGAGTTGGGTTCAGGGTGGGGGAGGGTGGCTGAAGGCACAGTCGAAGAAGAAGGTCTTTAGATGGCACTTGAAGAAGGCAAGAGAGGGGGTGAGGTAGAGAGATTGCAGGATAGAGTTCCAGAGTGTAGTGGCAGAGATGCTGAATACCCAAGGATCTAATTTGTGATATTCGCAAGCAATAGTTTTAACGTTCATTTGCAACCAACAAGTGGGCAATTTGTTGTCTAAGTTGCCTAATTTGAGCTAATTACAAAGTAGCCTATTGAGAATTTTTGGAAAAAATGGGGATGGGGGAAAAGGGAGAGAGTAGAGAGCAAAACATAAACACGGGTCATGATTAAGACTTCCTATTTGGTTTGTGAAGAATAGCAAATAAGACCCAATTGTTACTTGTGGCAAGGCAAACCACATATTTGAAATGGTTTTCCTTTTCATGGTGTCAGTGCTTTGCCTTGTGCCATTGATCTTGTATTTTCTTTTGACTATTTTTTAGAAATACATACTTTTTTTTATTTCTCCAGATATTCTGTGTAATGAAATGTTTGAAAATTCACTGTAAAGGTTTTATCATAAAACTTGTGATACACGATGCTGCAGGAAACACACAGACTGAGGTAAGAACCAATGGGAAAAAAATACCAATATTCCGCTCTCTAGTTGTTAAATAGTTTAATTACCTCTAGGTAAAATGAAGAGTTGGGATCACATAACTCTATCCGGGCTTCTGCCTTACCCAATAACAACAATCTGTTAACGGGTAAGGCAGAATTGGGCAGATAATCTCTCAAAACGTCAATATCCAAATTGCTAAATTCTATAGGACTCTTTGACACTGGATGAAATATAGATACATGTTTAACTTTCTGGCACTGCTTTCAGTTTTAGGAGCAGTGTACAGCAAAATAGTTGGCTGCAAAATAATTCAGATGAAGTAATTCATAGGAATCCCATCAACTTCCTTTTTAAATTTGTATCTTTTTAAAAAACCTAGTAAATTTTCACTTACTAAACATTTTTCTTTCTTTCCCCCCTCCCCTCCCAGTTTGAAGTGAAATTGGGAGATCTTCTAGCTCAGTCTCCACTTGTGTAAGTACAGATTCTGTGTTTCCGAGATACAGAACCCATTTCTATTTTGGTTTGACCTGAGATTCTCCTGCATTTCACATTATCTATTCAACAAGTAAAACCAAATATTGTTTTTCCCACAGTAATTAATTAACCCTATTGTCTAAAACAAGGTTTTCTTGTACACTTTATGCATTGAATATTAGAAAGTAGACTTCTCAAATGACCCCTCCTCTTATTTAAATTTAGAGTAAGCAATACCCTCTATATATTCTTCCTTTCCCAAAGCATACACTGTCTGAAACTAAAGAGCTTGCAGGCCTCAACGAATGCTGCTCAGACTCAAGTTCATTAAGTTACATTTCTCAGTATTTGAAGAATAATTTATAATTGATACTTCATAATCTCAGTGTTAACTTGAATCTAACAAAGAAATATTATCTTTGTTTAACTCAGCCTACACAATCATATCCATAAATCAAAAATCAATCCTTTTCATTTGAAGAAAAGCAGAAAATATTAATACTGTCATGCGTTTGTGCTAAATGTGCGGAAGGGAATGTAAAAACCTGAACAGTTATGACACCTGCGATGAAGACTCTAAATACTGTAAAATTCACACTGATTCTGAAAGTCTAATTTCAAGATAATGTTTTAACTTTCCAGTTACAGAGAAAATGAAGTAAAGGTAATGCATGTCGCAGAGGAATCCAGTAAGGAAAACATTGATAAAGGAATGGAAGAGAAAGCTGTACCTTCATCTTCACTGACATGTTAGTTTGTTTGAAAATCTAAAATTGATTACTTGTGTTTTTTCTGCTCCTTTTTCCTATGTTTACGTCTGTTTCTGCATTTACTTGGTATGTTTGTGCACACATTCATTTATTTACCTTCAAGTGTTGTATCTTATCAGATAAATGTCGCCTATTCCGTGAGGTAGCTGTGAAACGAAAGCTAATTGAAAACGGAATCGCTGAAATCCAAAAAACGTCTGAACAACTGGTGCACTATATAATAACGGAAGGAGGAATGGAGAAAGGCAGTGAATGTACTGCAGAAATAATTCTGGATTATGTATTGTCATTGAACTGCAATTTTAAGATACGTCGATTCATAGTCCTCCTTAAAAATGAGGATCTTGGTTATCGCCCAGAATTAACCCAGTGGATCAATTTCATTTTACAGCTAGGTAAAGTTTCAGTTTTATTTTCCATTACTCTGAGCTGATCGGGCTAATAAGACCTTCACAAATAACAGCAACAACAACTTGCATTTATATAGCTCCCTGCACCCAGGTTAGCGACCCAAAGCGCTTCAGTTGCATTGTCTGACAACATAAAAATGATTTGCTTTCACACTTATCAAGGTTGTGCGTGTGTATAAAGGTTGTGCGAGGAGTCCTGTATTTTAGTGGGTAGAGCACTCGTCTCACAAGCGAGAGTCCTGGGTTCGATTCCTGGGCAGGACAAAACATTAGGTAAGTTTTAGTTGATGGGCGGGTCGATTTAGTTGATTGGCGGGTCGATTTACCGGGGTTAATAATCTCTTAAAAAATAAATAAAATAATAATAATTTAGCCACTCAATCCATGACTGTTTGTGGGACACTGCTGTATGCAATTGACTGCCCAGCCCACAAAATATACAGTCAATTCACTTTACAGTATATTCTGTAAAGCGCTTTGAGACATCTTGAAGACGTGATAAGGCACTATATCAAATGCAAGTATTATTATTGTATGTTTTTTTTCACAGTTTACTGCACTCTGGGTATCTGTAATTCGTACCCACGAATTTGCATCCCATGAGCAGAATGTAGAACATTCACTCTCTTCTGCTCTCGAGATTCAAAAAATTACAATGCCTTTACCAACGTTGTTTGGTACTGAAAAAAGCCGGTGTCAAAAACATCCAGTATTGTAATTACACTTAACTGGGAATTCTGGCTCGCCAGACCGGGATTTCCCCCTCCTCCCCTCCCCCCCCCCCCCCCAATTGGCCGAGGTAGCCACAGTTTTAGTTTATTTAAAATTTATTTTATTTTTATAAAGCATGCATTCAGCTTGACTATGTTGTTATGCTTAATTGGAATCCCTGTTAAATCTTGTTTATGCTTCCCTTGTGCTTTCCCTATAGTGTTGAGCACAAACTATTCTCGCTTGTTTTGTTTTCTGAGTCATTTGCTGGGTTTGATTGTGGAGTTGCTTTATAAATGCAACTGTCAGAAAAACTCTACTCTGATTTTTTTTTAAAGTCATAATTTATGTCCCACCAAAATAAAAGTGCTTCTTCCCTTGTTTTAGGTAACGAATGCAGTTTAAGCTTTGTAAACAACTTTAAGACAATTATCATTGAAATTCTTCAGAAAATGGAAACCTACCTAATGATCATTGCTAAAAAACTACTCTCACAACGACTCATAAGTACAGAAGACATGAAAATACTAATTGCAACCCCATTAAAACGGAGACCTGGAGTCTTGATGGGACTAATGGACGACCAAACGGAGCATTCACATTTAGGCGATCTACTATTTGTCATGGGTGAAGAACAAGATAAAATTCCTGCATATAAGCACGTATTTCAAATGTTTAACACCGGGTTTGATATATTCTGTAAGTTTGGGTGCATCTTCATAATATCCACCATGTTTTTTTTAGAACTGATGCAGTTAATTTTTCGTTTACAACTATGAAAAGCACAATAAAGCAAAGAAGATAAATTTCTTTCCCAACTGGGCGGACATGTCCAGACTCTGATTGGTGCCAGATGGTGTGAATGAATGGCCAGTATGGACTTGTATTGACCAGACACTGATTGAGAGTGCCCAAATTCATTTGAAGGCCCTAAACTTTCAGTAACAAAACCAGGTTCCTGAAATACTCGATTTCTGTACTTGCCATTATCCAACAAGGCACCAGTCCCTATTTCAATTGGAAGAATGTTAGAAAAGTAGTAACAAGCAATATTTTGAGTAATAAACTATTTCTTAATTTCAAAACAATGCAGATTATGCTGTCCAGATAGTGTGTTTAATTGCCTCAAACATCATGCGCATAACCCAGGATAGATTCAGGAGTAAAGGAACAATAGCCATGTTTTGTTTTTAAAAAGATCCTGGAATCTATCTGGGATATTCTGTAGTGTACTGATTTACAGTCAATTTGGGAAATTTTAGTATCAGAAGATTAAAATCCAGAGTCTTCCCAAGACTCTTCAACCGGTACCTGCTCCTAATGGGCCTGACTGTTCAGCGCCTTGGGAAGTCCCCCGACGTGAAAGGCGTTTCATAAATGTAATGTTGTATATAGTCTTGACAATAATGTTTTTGTGTGTGTTTGTTTTGTGTGACAGATCTTGGCAAATCTCACAACTAGAATACTAAGTACTACATTGTTCAGTACTTCTATTAATCATTGGTGGAATTAGACAGATCGTATAGTATCATTGCAGTGCTATCTTTTTTTACAGCAGCTGCAGAACTGCGATTAATTCTAATGTTACTCTAGATTATCGTCCAAAATTCTCCTTACTTTGGGCTCCTAAAGATTTTTCTTCAGCTTTTTCCTTCTCCGTGGTATACTATTCATTAAGCATTGGTTATCTCACACAATTGACAGTCCTCCCCCCCCCCCCCCCCCCCACCACCACCTTTCCAGGGTGCTAGTTGAGATCAGCAGAGATTGAGATTTGAACTTCCAAAATTCTGGATCATGTGTACTGCACCACGTGGTGTCTGTGTTACATTCAATGAGCTTCTTTGCAATAGATATATCTAGAATCTGTCTTGACAGATGTAGTATTTCCTGATTTTTCTACCCTTTGTCAAAACCATGATTGATTTCACAATTCTTTCACAAAGCAAAACTAACTGCATTGTAGAACTAAATACTAAATGAAGAGAGAAACCTAAGGGAATAGCTGCATATGACTGTTCACAGTTGTGCTCTTACTATAAATGATTGAAATTAAATATTTGGTTTGATAAATATTGCGAAAATATTTTGAATGAAGAAAATAAACCACAGAACCATTTGTAAGTGAACATAAGAATCTCCCATTATTTTTTTCTCTTTTAGCACCGGATATTCTTCTATTTGCTGCACAGAATTTGAAAAACAAACCAATAGATTTGGTGGAATCTGTAGTTGAAGATCCGCATGGTATTTCTGTAAGTCGACCTTGAATAGTATTTCTATAGGTTTATAACCTAGGTATGACTAACAAACACACTTTGCTCTTTAATCTCTATAACCCATGTAGAAGAAAAAAAAGATTACTTGTCTCTGACAGTTGCCAAACCCCTTTCACAAAGTCATTTTACCTAGGAAATCTCAGTCTTTGAATCCATAACTCAAATCTTCACTGCTGATTTTGATAATTAATTAATTTGTGCTGTTACTGCAAGGATAAAATGAAAAAACAAACATTTCATTACTGGAGCTGAAAGATATATTGGCCCTGGAAGAAGATATATTGGCCAATATATCTTTCAGCTCCTGTACCAGTAATGAAATGTTTGTTTTTCCATTTTACAAAATACAGTCACTTTACAGTATATTCTGTGAAGTGCTTTGAGATGTCTCGAAGACCCGATCAGGTGCTATATCAAATGCAAGGATTATTATTTTTAAACACCGCAGATACATCAGAATGATACCATGGCTTAAAGGGTTAAGTTATCAGGACAGATTGCATAAAGTTGGCTGTATTCCCTTGAGTTTAGAAGGTTGAGGAGTGATCTAATTGAGGTGTTTAAAGTGATAAATGAATTGGATAAGGTAGATAGAGAAACTATCTACTCTGGTGAGGGAATCCAGAACAAGGGGGCATAATCCTAAAATTAGAGCTGGACCATTTTGGAGGAAAATCAGGAAGCACTTTTTCACACAAGCGGTAGTGGAAATCTGGAACTCCCTTCGCCCAAAAAGCTGCGGATGCTGGATCAATTGAAATTTTTGAGACTGAGGTTGATAGATTTTTGATACGTAAGGGTATCGAGATATGTAGCAATAGCATCTTAAATGGAGTTGAGGAATGTTCCTCAATTCTAACACGCTTGAGGAACTGAGTGACCTACTCCTGTTCCTGTGATCATTTCTGTAGTTGTGCTGAAGTATTTTTATTCGACAAGATATTGCAGTTCCACTTGAAATATATCACACAAGTAGCTCACTCAGTCCTTTAACTAACATTTTTCACCTCTGCCTTGGGCAGCACAAAATATACAATAAATCTGTAATCTGTGTTCCTTTCTGTCCATGTGCACGGTTGTTTAATAGCTCTGGAAGATCTATCGGAGAATGTGTGGTCCTTAGAATAGTTTACAGAATGTGAAGACAAACTGCTTTTGTGTGTAAATGTCATCAAGGAAATGGAAGAATCTCCCATTAATCTTGAAATAACTCCCAGCTCACCAAACATTTGACTTTGATGCTGGCCTTTCTTTAAAAAGAACTGAATGCTGTAAATTTCAGAATTTAGATGAGTTATATGTTAAATGTGTGTCAAGCACTGTGAGGTGCTATATAAATGCAAGTTGTTGTTAAATGGTTTAATATTGTGTTTACTGTAGGTGGCTAAAACAAAAACAAAATCTAAGAAGAAGAGGAAAAAGTCTAAAAGCAAAAAGGTAAGCTTACTGACAATTAATTGATTTTAAAGCAAAGCAAAACTGAAGGCTGTTCCGTCTATCATGTGTGGGTTTGCTAACCGATACACTCACTATATAAGTTGGTGTGAGTGAGTGTGGGAAACTGGCATTTTGATTTGTATGTGTCTTACATCTTAGGGATCATCATGAATTTTATCTAGAACCGCATTCAGTAAGGTGCATTTGAAAGGCAAGCTAAGAAAGCCGCTACGTTTATTTTATAATGATTATGACAAAGATCTATAAAGATTCTCATGGAGCGTGGGGGTGTTGTGGGATGTTAAATGAAGGCCCCATCTGCAGTGCACATTAAAGATATCTCATGGCATGGTTTGAAAAAGAGGAGTTTCTCCCAGTGTCCTGGCCACAAGACCACCGCCTCCTCCCCCCCCCCCCAAATAAAATTGGTCATTCATTTCATGGCTGTCTGTGGGACATTGCTGTGCGCACATTGGCTGCTGTGTTCACCCACAAAAAATTAATCACTGCACAATACAGTATATTCTGTGAAGCACGTCAGGACATCCTCCTGACATGAAAGGTGCTATACCAAATGTAAGGATTATTATGCATAGCAGTTTGGGTATATGTGGTGCAAGGCAAGGATCCACCTTAACATCCCAAAGTGTGCGGTGCAACGTACTTGCTTGTCTGCACGGTGGCTTGGTACATACAACTTTTACCTTTATGCCTGGGTTTATCAATCGATAATTGTATCCCTGTTTGCTGTATTTTACTGGTTCTGTTATTACTGTTTGTAGTAAATCTTAAGCTGTTAGTCGCTCATTTAAGTCATTTTACTGTCAAAGATGATGAGAAGTGGGAGGAAAACAGTTGAAGTGCAATATGTGTACCATACAAAGCAATTCTGAGATATTGCAGACAAGGGAATGGATTCTAATAAAGACAGTAATGGAAACTCCCATCACTGATTTCTAGTATTGGATCGTTCCGGTTCAATCACATTCCAGGTATAAAGTGGCACAAGTGTTCAAAACATCTACAAAAGAAGTTAGCAAACCAATTGAGATTGAGAAGGACCAAGCTTTTTTGGAAAGTAATCTTGAACTGACCCAGACATTCTGCAGTAAATTTCCTTTTTACTTAAGGGCTTTGATGAGGCTCAAAAGAAAAAAATAAAATTCAGAGACGTGTCTTTATTGTTATGACCCTTGAAGCAGAAATTCCTGTAAAGTTATTTTCTCTACAGGCCCAAGCGAATAAAGACAGTGAAAATACAGCTGAAGAACACATCACCGAGAAACAGTAAGATCATTTGAATACAGTTACACATATCCACACCCTAACTATCCAGATGTTTCCTTATCTTATTTCAAACTGTGTTGAAGTGCAAAAAGAATGTGCAGTCCTGTAGCTCAGTGGTTAGAGCACTTGTTTTGCAAGCGAAAGATCAGGGTTCGATTCCTGGCAGGGTGAAACATTTGGCACATTTCCATACTCCACACACCTCTTTTTATGAAGCAGTAAGTAGGAACCCAGTTGTTAGTCGATTTGCAGATCGCTTCTCCGGGAGTAATAATTCCTTCAAAAAAAAATAATAAATTGGTCACTCAGTCCGTGACTGTTTATGGGACACTGCTGTGCACAATTGGTGTTTCGCCCACATATACAGTCAATTCCCTTTACAATTCCCTTTACAGTATATTCTGTGAAGCGCTTTGAGACGTCTCGAAGACGTGATAAGGCGCTGTATCAACAAGATTACATTTGTATCGCGCCTTTCACGTTGGGAGGACGTCCCAAGGTCCTGAACAGTGTACAGCATTTTAGACCCGAGCTGGGGTCAGGGGGGAGAAGGGAGGGGAAGGGGATTGGCCGATGGCATGGTCGAAGAGGAGGTCTTGAAGCGGGACTTGAAGGAGGCTAAGGAAGGGGTGAGGCGGAGTGACTGGGGGATGGAATTCCAGATGTTGGGGGCAGAGTGGCTGAAGGCTCTCCCACCAATATATGTATACCAATGATATATATCAAATGCAAGGATTATTATTATTAAGCAAAACTATGCAAGCAAAATTTTAACTAGGTTAAAGATTTAACAGAAGCAGGCCTGTGACTATTAACACAAGGTAAGTATTCATTGCACAGTTTGTTGCACATGCCGCATAGGGTTGAAGGTGGGGAAGGAGAAAAGAAATAGGAGCCTATGGATGATATCACCAAAGGGGGAGCATCTAGATGAGGCAAAGCAAGATGACCAAAAATAGAACCCTGAGTGACTGCGGGAACGAGAGGAGAAATTGCTAGATTCGATGTAGTGGGGAAAAAAATCTCCGAAAAATTAGCAAAGTGTTGAGAGAGAGAATGGGATTGGCAGAGTGAGGAATTATAGTGACCATGTAACTATGATGGAAGAAGTCTTGGTTTAGCCCTGATGCCACTTTTTATTTTGTGGGATAACTATCTGTACTGGTTCCATATCTAAAATGGGGCACTGTGGCAGCAGCTAGTGAGGATATCTAGCTCTTTATTGTATTTATAAATGTGCAACTGAGTTACCTTTTTCAATTTTCAGCCATGTTATATGTTGAAGCTTATACATATGTACTGTATTTTAAATTGTTGGACATTTGGTGCTAAACATTTCCATTGCTCCCTTTGCTAACCATAAATTTACATTTCATTTATTAACTACGGGTCAGATCGCTCTGTGAGACTTGCCAAAGAATTTACTCCTTTGTGTCTAACTCGTCTTGGTTTCTGTGTCATTGATTGCCCTGATCTAAAGTAATTATTTGGGCTGTAAAACTGTCCTGGAAAGCAACAGGATAAAGTGCTCCTAGAAATAAAAAGCTAGTGTTTTGGGAATGCACAGCGCACATCAATGGATAGTTGTAAGAAAAGGGTCCGCTTTTCAGGTTTGAGCCATCATCAGAATTGCAGTTTTGGTTTTAAACAGTAAGATTTGCTGCAGACTCATCAAGTTTTATTTGTGACAGTGAGGCCTTATCAATTCCTGTGCAAGAAAACCAATTGAACAAGAACAAAGACAACCAGCAAGAAGAAAGCTCCACTGTGGATGCTTTGGTATCCAGTGTCACTGCACCAGAATCTTCATCTCTGCCACTGGCTACTGTGATTCGCAATAGTAATGCTGGTTCCTCTTTAAGACACCTTGAAGTCAGCAAACTTGACAGCTGCTCAGACCATACTTACCAAAGTGATGGAGAGCTGGATGATATTGATACTACTCTCACTGTCAATGAGCCATCTGATTCTAGCGCATATGCCCATTCAGTAAGTTTGAGATGGTGATTTATTTATTTAAAACTTCTTGTTTGCATAAAAAAAATAAAGATCTTGACCTTTATATATTTTTTCCTCTTCAAGAGGGTGAGAAGGCATAGCAGAACACAACTTTATGAGATTGAGTCACCAGAATTACCAGAATTTGGCAAGAGTATATAAAATTTGTAGAATTTTTTTCATGATGAATACTATGGAAAAACAGAACTGGAGAAAGTACAAAACCACAGAACATTTCCAAAGTGTAATCTGGTTTATTCAGGAAGAAATGCAAAGATGTTTCTCTGTGGATTAATCGTGATTTGCCTGTCCTTCAAATTACAATAAAGATCACAAGATCAGTTTGGATGAAGAAGGCCCTTTGGTCCATTTGAACTCATCCTTCCAGAACGTCCACTCTTCCATTTTCCCCTCACAGCATCAAGCTGTTCCTTAAATGAGTTCAGCATCTTGCTCTCAACCACCCTGCCTGGCAACCTGTTTCAGTTGTAAGTTACCTTCAGATAAAGATATATTTCCTGGTGTCTGACCATTGCAACCCTAAACCTGTGTCCTCTTATTGAAAGTGTGGCAGGTTATTGAATTCATTTTATATTCCGAGGCAGGGAGCTGGGGCTTCCCAAGAGCATTTCATGATCAGCCAATAGTGCCATTGTATTCAACGGTTCCGCTTTCTCTCGCTCTCTCTAGTGGAGAACTACATTGGTGCACCTTGCTCTCTCAAGGAAGCTGGTCACATGCCACTCTGTTGAATAACTTGGCTGAAAGCTCTCATTAGTCTCACCAAATCAGGTGAATTTATTCTCAATGGATCCTGAGTTACAAATCACTGGAGGCACTGATGAACTCAGAACAGGGTTTAGCAATGGGTGGGGAAAAAAATCTCTAGACAACGAACACTGTCAAAATCAGCAACCTGGGGAATTAATTTGTTATATGATCTTGAAAGATGTACTTAAAAGCTATTTTTATTTTTACAGCGACTCTATTCCTCTTCAGAAGTTGAAAGTGGGGCTATTAAAATACAAGAGCTTATTGGGCAAAACGTTAAAGAAGAATCTGAAATGAAGCCAACATTAATTTCTCTGAAAAATGAATATGAGGTATTGCATTTTAGATTCAATTCAAATCGGCTGTGAAAATGAATGAAAGTTGCAAACAGTTCTATAAATAAATTGAGAATATAGTGGTTTTTAATATCAAATTGGCCAATATTTGGGAAAGGGGACTTTCTAGTTTTACCACACAGATTTATATTTTGAATCCTCTATTTTTTAGGTTCTTCAGAAGTGTGAAGAGGTAGTGTATAATCCACAGAAAGAGCAACAAAAAGGGGATGCTACCGAAAAGCAGTACAGGCAACTGAAAGAACAATATCAGCTGGAAACTATGAAGTATGTTTGAGGGTAGAATATGTGCACTTTTAAAAGCTGCTTCACACGGCTCCATTAGGACTGGGAGAATTTCTCTTGCGATGTCGTACAATTTTTTGGTCACCAAAGAGAACTTTTCAAATCTGTCTGACTTGGTTGAGCAGATCAACAGCATGGGCATGGGCTAACCTGCAACAAAGTCGTTAACTTAGCTGGGATTGTAAACATTGTGGTTTATATTACTTCACCTAAAAATCCGTTCACTCCCTACCCTAGATCTTCCCTTTCCCTCTGATCTTCTCCTACGACACTCTTCTGCTCACCCCTTCCACTTGGATAACCTGGGCCTCCTTCGTGTCCCTCGTCTCCTCCCCGGCCAGCATCAGTTACCGAGCCTTCACCTTCAGTGATTACAAACACCCCTAACCTCTGGATCACCATCCCTCTATCCCTTTGGTTTTCCCCCACTCGCTCCCGATTACATCTGTGATCAGCTCTCCATCTTCCTTGCTGAGCGTCCAACACCACCACGGTGAGGCCCTCAGAGACATTATCCTCAGTGAAGGGCACTATATAATTGCAAGTTACAATAAAGACTACTGTAAACTACTAAAAGGTCACTTTTTTAACCACAGTGCCACTTAGTGGCATAATTCTGTCACTACCAATTGATGTTTACTACAGTTCAAATTTTTCAAAAGATTGTTGGATTGGGTTATTGGGCATTCTTCTGAACCCTGTTTTTAACTTGAATGCAATTAATTAATACATAAATAAATAAATATGTGGGATTTTGGTTACTTGAAATTACTAATATTTTCTGTTTGTACCTTTTAGAATTAAGCAGCAACTTCAGAGTAAAGAAGAAGAAATAAAGATGATTAAAGCACAATTTACTAATGAAAGGTAAATAATAATAATAATCCTTGCATTTGCTATAGCGCCTTATTGCGTCGGTGAGGGGGATTTTCGCAAGCAATGGCATAGTAACCTACTGCCCCACCCTGAGATTTGAGAGGAAATATTTTGTAATTAGAAATGAAAGCAATTAGAATTGTCATCAAAATATTTTAAGTGCTTAAGATTTAATTATTCCTGGTAATTTAGTTCCTTCACACTTGGGTTCAGGAACACTAATTATGTTAATTGGTCAAAGAAAAGAAAACATAAAGACAAGAGAGAACAGTAAAGAAAAGGACAAGTTCCTCCCAGCGTGATAAGGCACTCTTATCAAATGCAATGAATATTACCATTAATATTATTAACCTTCATAATCCATGAATGCTGAGACCAATTATAGCATCCCATTTGCTGCCTTGTCTTGAATTCAAAACTGACCTTCCAGAACTGTGTGGCAATGCCTATACCCATAAGGTATATCAGAATCTGTGTCTAAACTTCCAACCCTTTGATTATCCAAGCTACTTTGTCAATTTCTAAGTATTATAATATAATCTTTGTACCTGAAATAACATCTTATCACTACTATGAAAATTCTCAAAGCACCTTGACATGATTTTACTGTAGAGTGTATTTTGTAGGATTTTTATACTTCTTTAATGGGTGTCACATTGCTAAACTGATATTTGTTGAATAGTAATGAATGCTAAAAGAACCACAGTGCATTCCTTTTATTGAATAATTCAAATAAAGCTAGATAAAGTGCTCACATTTTTCTTGCTATCCCAACATCAGGGTTCTGTGGATGAAAGATAAAGCTAAAATGGAAGACGTGACTGCCAAAAATATTGCAAAATTAGTGGAAACTACAAAACGAGCAATAACTGCTGAGGTAAGTTATCTACACAACTGTTTTATCACGGGCACAAATGTGTTTCTCAGATGCAAACCAGCTTGTCAGTTTTCATTGGAAATCAGTGCTAAAGATTTAAATAAGTACGGCATCATTTGAGCATCTAATTTTGTTGCTTCGTACACCAGATTTTAACTTGAGGTTCATTCAAATTTGGTCTGTGGAATATTGAGACCTTTGTTCTGAAGTGAACGTTCATTTCTATGTTTCACCAATATTTCACTGTATAACATGCACTTTTATATTTTGCATATCCTCCCAGGTTTTGATTTTAGAATGTCACAGAGATTATGGCCTTTTTCAGTTGCAACAAACCGAGCAAGACTGTTCAGTCCAGCACAGAACAGCAGAAGAGAATGTGGCAAGGTGTGTAAATGTAAAATCCGAGAAGAATGCAAGAAAATGAACCAAACAGTAATATTTCAGTCTGAGTGTAACATGTCACTTTGGGATACTAAAAATGTGCTGCCTGACAGGATCTAATAACTAATCAACAGTCAGTCTTGGGGCTCATTATGCCTGTGAATAAACCCAGCTGTAATATTAATATGTGCCAATGCAAACATTTGTGTAAAAGATGGAATTCTTAATTGCATTCAGTCAGTCCCCCGTTTATAATGTGGTGTTTCAAGACCATAAAATAAGACCCCCACCTGCCACCAGTCCTGCTGATTGGCCAGCTTGCTGGCAGGAAGCTAGCCGTACGGGACATCAATGGCAACATAATGACCCAATAGTATTTTGTGCAGATTTATGCCAATGAAACAAGATATGCAAGTGCTGCCCCATGTGAAAGGTGCTATATAAATGCAGTTGTTGTTGAAATCTAATGAAACTTTGTTCTATGGCTCAATAGGAATCCCGAGTCTGCTCAAATTTGTGCAAAGGTTGATGCTTGGCAGGCAATTTTAGCTGATATAAGAAATAAGATCGATTTCACAAAGGTGAGTTTGTTTCTTGTAAATGTCTTCGAAAGCTATTCTTCGTCGTAAATTCAAACCTGTGAATTCCAGCTCATTTGTGGTCACAACCTGGTATAAGAAACCTCAGTTATCTTTGGATGTTTTCTTTTTAAGGGATTTTATGTTTTGCAAAAAAAACCTGGAAGAAATGTGTTTTTAAAAGGTGAAATGGTGCATTGCTATAATCTTCAAATGCTTAAGAATTTATGGCTTAAACATGAAATAATATCGGCATCCCGTTGAACAAAATAATCAACTCTCCTTGCATTTGGACGAAGCCTTAGTATTCTCCTTGTTGCTTTTGTTTTACTATTTTCAAGATTTTGGAGCTTTAATGACCAGAATTAAATAGAATGCTGCCATTGAGAACTCATTAATCAATTTTACTTTCTGGGGCTTATTGTTCCAGCATCAAACTGAAATGTTCACGTGTAAGCATGAAAAACCCCTCTCTAGAAGTGATCTAAGATAGTGGTGTGATTGTGGTACTACAAGACCGCATAAACTGAATGAGTGAAACTGAAGTTGTATTTAGTTCAACTAAAATTGAACATATCACTGTTTTGAAATTACTTCCAGGTTATAGGTACTTTACATGGATTTCATTGGATTCTGTATCATTGATTCTCCATACAATCCACCATTGATTGCTAAGATGTGTTGCGTCCAGTGTTTTAATCATTATTCCTTATATATTTCAAATTTGATATTTATTTCTATACCATCTTTGCTTATTTTTAGAACCAGTTTGATGATCAGATAAATCTAGTGAAGAACGGAGCCAAACTGAAGAATCTACCGCAAATAAAGATCCCTCCACCTCCCCCACCTCCTGACGTAGTGGTAAGTTTCTTTCCCATATCCCATCAAACATGTAGTACTAGGAATTGGGTGTGATTTTCCTTTTTGAGCAATTGGTCTGTACTTATGCACATGGAATTGTAATTTGGATGAAATGTTAAACCAGAAACCAGTCTGACTGTTCAGTTGGATGGTCAAAGATTCTATGGCACTACTCAAAAAAGAGAGGGGAGCTTCTGGTGCTATAGCCAACAACTCCCCAGTTAATTTGGTCATTCACTTCATGGCCTTTTGTGGGACATTACTGTGCCTAACTTGGCTGCTGTGGTCTCACAAAATACTTTACACTGTACAGATCTTCATCCTGTGAAGAAGCATGGAAATGAATCTCCGAATGAATGTTGGTACCCAGTGTAATGTGGTTTAATGATGCATTTTTAAGATAGTGTTCATTAAACGTTTGAAAAGCTTGAACAGTAAAAGCACAGATTTGACTTTCTTCTTTGCAGATGAAGCATTTTCTTGAACAGCATTTACAAGCAAAGACTAGTAATGTGCAGAACCATGGGGTCAGGCAGGCCAAGCCTGTCAACACACCCTTTTCTGTTGCTGCAAGAACACCAGAGGTTTCTGCTGCTATACAAGAACAGGTGGGAATAAATAATTTACTTTAAACAGGGAAGACTAGCCTAAATTGGGCCATATAACCAGGTGTGATTTCAGATTCACCAGCAGTTAAAAGTGTCCGATTCTTAACTAAGTCTGTGTGTTGTTGTAAATATTGAGGGTAAATATGTTTTTATCCCTTCCGTTGCCCCATGTTACTATCTGTGGTTGAGAGGTTGGAACAAATCTGCTCTACCATTCTTACTCTGAATCAGTTAGTTGCAAATATGTGGTTGTTTCTCCCCACAGTGAAGTGATAGGTTTAAAATTCAACAGTGGATGGTTGGCTAAGGAATTCATGGAGGACAAAACCACATGCTACCACTCCACCTCATTATGAGCTGGTCCACCAGTTCTACAGTGCACCTAATGTCTATTAAGCAACTAACTGTATCAACCTAAGCAAATCTCCTTGGTATAAAAAGGATGTCTGTGCTGGATGTATGTTCATTTGCTTTAGCCCTTATATTTTACTCGTACCTCAATCCACAGAGCCAAGCAATAGCACCAGTATCTGAACAGGCACCATCCCAACAACTCGTGCAGACGGGCGGAGGAGCATCATTGGCAACAATGGGAGCCCGTGGAAAGAACAGCTTAGAAAGAATTATGGAGAAACTATTGAGATCCTACCCACAGTTCACCAGGTTAATACAGTAAAACTTGCATAAGTCTTATCTTTATAAATCTTACAATTGCCTAAGTCGTACATTCACTTGAGTCCCACTCAATTTCTTATCAAAACCACTTGGATTTCTTTGCACTTCTCATATTAATCACCTCCTAACTCGTAATACTATTCCCCGACCCTCCATTACTCCTGCACTTACCAGCTGTATTGAATCGTGGGAAACGGTCTGGATCCCTCAATGTATGCTTAATGAGAATCAAAGTACTTAATTTTCTACAATCGATCCAATTCCAATGCTTGCTGGTAAGTGGCATTTGGCGATGGGTCAAGACGCACTGAATCACGGAAATGTAGGTTCGACCTGTCACCGCATGCGCACTTACTGGCTGCGTTGAATTACAAGTGTGCAATGTCAATGAATGATTAAATCGGATTTTATTTGACTTTATAATTTACCTGCAAATTAGCATTCGCATAAGTCATTAAATGTTATGGTCCTGATTGACATGACTTATGCAACTGTTACTGTATTAGCAACTGACTGACAAAAATGCTTCTGGTGAGTTTTTAAAAAAAAGGAAAGATCAGGTTTCATTGTTGCTCAAAAGTGAAACATGTGGGAGGTTATTCTTCTACACCTGGTGGTAAATTTAATGACCTTTGGCAGTGAATGTATTAATCTCTGCTGATCAGTAACTTTGTTCTTTGTCAGTGAGGGCTTCAGTTAGAAGCACAAACCCCAAAGTTAGGCAATTTATCAACCAATTTAACTTTCAATGGTGCAAATAGTTGGGCTGGCTGCATGGTTTGAAACAATTTGCCATCAAACAGAATTACGAATATAATCAGCTAGGAATTACTATTTTGTTTTAAAGGAATATTTAGGATGGAGAAAAACATTTTATTTTTTCATTTTAGGGTTTCATTAACTGAATTTCTGAAAGAAGTAAAGCATTCAAATGGTGGATCTCTCTCAGGATTGTCCTTTGATGACATGATTAATAAAGTAGCACGATTAGTGGAAGCAAAACTCTCTGAGGTATGTCTGAACAATTCTGCTTTTTATAGCATTTGGTTGGTATGTACAGTTTAAGGGCAAGATTACCGGATCAGTCAATATTTCTTTCTCCACTGCAGAGTAGCAACAATCGTCAAAATAATCCTCCACAGTCTGTCTGGCGTTCACTCAGGCAGCAGGGACCTGTATCATGGGAGGGAGCAAGGACAATGGTAATATACACTTAATGTCATGGAAAACCACTGTGCATATGTAAATATTTACAGAGGATATTGCAGAGTTTTTTTCTATTAAGAAAAATATTTAACAATAGAATGGTTTATTAATGGAAACAAACCAACTTTCAGACCATTAGATTATTGTCAGTTTAAACAAACAAAAAATCCAGGGAAGCCTGAGTAGCTTGGCTGGTTTTCTTGCCAAAGCCCTAATGGGTCTTATTCCTAACTTGAGCACCAGGCTGTGAAGTTACTAACGTACTGCATTTGTTTATAATCACAAAAGATTTTGCCTTCTCAGGGATGCAAAAATCGGTAAGCCTGCTTAGCAAGATCCACCAGGGATAGACTACAGTTGAGTCCTGTTGACAGTAGTTGGTCTGTAAAATCTCACTATAGCAGGACACCTTCAACAGTAACCACTTTTGCAACTTGGTAACACTGATCACGACTGGTGTCTCTGCACCTGCAGACAGTGTTGTCCATGGTTATTTGGCATTGTGTTCAAGAAGCAGACTTCAGATCCACATTAAGTAAAGGCACAATCTAACGGAAGCAGATTTTAACAGGGCTCTGTTGTACTTCTGCTTCTATCATGTTTAGTTTGGTTTGAAACTATTTTAAGCCTTTCAGTACCTTATGCACTTTCAAAATGAATGACCTATTTATTTGTCACATTTCCAACAATGACGAGCTTTACAGTTGACATAGAAATACAGAAATGCACGGAGCAAAAATATAATCTTGTTTAATTTATACTACAATTGTCAAAGGGCTAGATGTTAACAGATTGCAACAAGTTAAATTAGTTGAAAGTACTAGGGTCTGGTCAGATTTATTGCAATCTCCATTATTATGCACTAGATTTGTTTTTAAGTGAGTCTTGTTTTTTTAATAGACTGAAGAGCAAGAACCTTGTGTGATCTGTCATGAAGAATTCTCTTCTGAATCGATCCTAGCATTGCCATGTGCTCACAAATTCCACTCACAGGTATGGTTATTTCTTATCTTGATTTGTAAGTCCTGTGTGGTAAATATGGACCGTTTCCAATTGGTACAAATATTCAAGCGTGAAAACTTACAATTTAAAATCAACCTGCTTTAAGTAAAACAAGTGAAAATAGGGATATTCTAAATAGTTTAGCTATCTTGCAACAAAAGACTTTCTGCCAAATTCTGAAACGGGTGGTGTGGTAGAATAGCGTTTGAATGCTTAAGTGATAATTATTTTGCTGTTATGAGGCTCTTTCATGAGCAAATTTTGGCCACAATCAAATACTATAGGTTCAAATAGAGTGGTAGGGGGGGAGAGGGGGGGGAAACTGAAAAGACCTAAATTGTGAGTTACTCTGATTGAATGAAGTGCTCACAAACGGAGATTCTACTGTATTATGTACTGGTGCGTGAGTTCACACATGAGCTATCTATCTTGGACATACAATTGTGTGAGGACAATGTTGTGATGGGAGAGTAAGCTGTCAGACTGCTATATACTCAACTCCTAATATTAAAGTACTGGTTTCAGGGAGGCACTTAGTCATGAGTAGGTGGAAACCCTTTTGATTATAGATAAACAGGACCTTGCCTGCATAACAAATGCCAAACAAGTTGCCCTGGTATGTGCAAGAAGTGTTCTCCCAGCTGACCTAGTTGCAGTAAACTTTTCACCATAACACTGTTGGGGACCACCTTTATCATTAAACCACAGGTTTTCCCCCAAAGGTCTCCCAAATCTGTTTCGAGGTGAAAGTGATGTTATGTGCCTTCTGTGAGGGTTTTGTTTGTGATATTCTTTACAGTCACACGGGGGTATTCAAAAATGATAACTCACAGTGGTAACTTTTTTTCTAAAACTTTGCCTTGCTTTTGGCAATTGCCTACGATGCAACTCTGTGATACATAAGACCCTGAACTTGAAAAAATGTCTTACCCGTCACCGTGCTGGCTACACAATCCCTTAAAGGACGTTACAGTTATAATAAGACCCTGTCATATCACGTGGCTTCTATCATCATGCTGTCAATCTTAACCCCTTCCCATGCAAAATGTGAATAAGGGACCCCCCCCCTTATTTCATCATTCACTTACAATGTATAAAGTCACATTCTGTATAACACAGTAAGTAAAATATCAGATTATATCATCAGGAATGAACTTTACCTACATCGTGCGCCAGGGAAGCTCAGTGAGCCGCATGGCAGCTGTTTTGAGTGTTGTGGCAAGACCTCTGCGAGTAGAAATTTTAGACCTTGTCTTCTGTGAGATCCTGCCTGATAAAGTATGAGAAATGTGGGTTATTAAAATGAGCTGAAACTACAAAGTTTTTATAGACACATATGCCTATACATAAACATACTGCACTTAACTTAAACAAGTTTTAACAAATAACCTGACGGTGTGGGAATCAGGGCCGCTCTATCACACTGCCAGCGCCTTGCTCTGCACAGGCATAGTGTGCGTTGATAGAGGTCCTTCCAGCCACAGCATCCTTTAGTGGCCTTGGAGGAGTCTTACCTACAGTCACCCTGGATATAGTCACTGAGCTCTTTTCCCTTGGAGTGACAATATATCAGGAGTTTACCGTGTTTTACCTTTGACGTTTCTAGGTTCTGTTGCCTTTTGCTTGTGTTTGAGAAGCTTGAGATTTTAAGTAAGATTGTAAGTTTGCTTTGCTTGCTGGCTTGTAAATGTTGTATAGCCTTAATGATGTTGAAGTTTTTTTTTCAAAAACAGTGTATTGGGCCATGGCTGAAAGAGCAGAGGACTTGCCCAACTTGCAGACTTCATGTTGTGCTGCCACAAGAATTCCCGGGACTCCCGCATAGAAACATTCCTCTGCCATGAAATGTTCTGTAAGAAAAGCATATTGAAGAATGTTCATTGTGACTCATTTGTTACAGGTTAATGCTATTTACAGCTAATATGTAAAGCTATTTTTCCATTACATAAGTACATTTTATAATGTGCCTTATTGTTGAAACCTCAACGTACTGGTGGCTGTATATTTTGTAGGTGAATGTACTATGTATGCGTGTGTGTTATTATAATATACAAAATAATCTGAGGCAATGCTGCAACCTTTTGTGGGATCACTTGCTTGTTTCATGCGTGTTTATGGGTTGAAGAACATGCTGCACATAAAGTAAGACCATAAGACGTAGAAGCAGGAATAAGCCATTCGGTCCCCCGAGCCTGCTCCAGCATTTAATAAGATCATAACTGATCTTCTAACCCAATTCCATTTACCTGGCCTATCCCTGTATCCCTTAATCCTTTAGAAATCTATCAACCTCAGTCTTGAATATGTAATAAGTAATTTGTGAAATCCTATTGAAAATGTTCTGTTTTAAAAATTAACTCTTTTAAACACTAAGTGTAGAAAAGTAATGGTGTCTAATTTCCTTGCTGTGGGTATAGCATCTTTCATTATCATGAGTACATCTCAAAGTGCCTCACAGGATTCAACTATGTATTATTCTTTCGATGCACCAGTGTGGAGTGTTCAGAGTACTGTATGGCATGAGTAAATTCATTGGAATCCTTCAGATAAACTGAGACTGTTCAGGTGGATGTTAAAAATCCCTTGGCACTATTCAAAAAGAGAATAGTTTTCCTTGCAGTCCTGGCCAACAATCCCCCAAATAAAATTGCTCATTCACTTCATGGCTGTTTGTGGGACATTGATGTGCACAAACTGGCTGTGACATTTGTCAACAAAATATAAATTACACAATGTTACAGTATATCCTGTGAAGCACTGATACACTCATCAATATAAGGTCCTATATCAAGTGCAAGGATTATAGTATACTAGTGTCTGTGCATATGGAAACTTTAGTATGGAACGCTGCATGCATTGTAGTGATTTTAGTGAAATTAAAGATGATTATGGTATAAAACATTACCTTTCCTGTGATGACTTGATATCTGAATTTCATATGTTCTGCACACTCTTAATATCCACGATGGAGTCTGTCCTAATTATCGATTGAGATCTCTGGTATAATTAGGGAAAAAAAACCTTATATTAAAACTTGTGGAAACAAGCGGAAAATAGTATTAGGTGGACAGTACTAAGATTGAGTCCTATAAAGTAATAAGTATAGATTTGATTGTTTCCGCTCCCACAACACACTACAATCCACAATAGTGTCAGCCTGGCTTGGTTGATAGCACTCTGGGCAGTTACTATACTTTGCATGAAATACCATAAAGCACTGGACATGACATAAGGTGCTTATTAAATGCAAGGATTAACCTGTGGAACCAGATTTTTTTTAAAAATATAAGTTTCCACAAACACATTTTTAAAGCAACAGTTTGGAATGAATTTAAATAATTGGAAGAGGTTATGAACATAATGTGCACAAATTCAGGGAATATTATCTTTAAGCTCCAAAAAGAAGTCCTAAAAAAATGTTGTTTATATGAATCCTTCTATTTAATTTTTGAGAACAAAAATTTTGAGATAGGGTGTTCAAAAAAATACATTACGATGGCATTTCTTCGTTCCACGTTTCCATATCTTATTTTGGTTAGACTTAAATGCTTAAAAGTAGGCCCAACAGAGAAATGGCTGACTAGCCGATTTGAGCGATACTCTAAAGTGCCTGTGGGGCTGACTAGAAGTGGCCGAACATTCGCACAAGTCTCGGTGAGGGTTACAAATCAATGTTCTGTTTCCATTTTTTTCTTGGTTGAATATTTCTTGATTTGTGCCATTAAACAAGAAATGATCAAGAAAAAAAATCGATTTTGTTGGCTAACCAAAAAGATTGGCTACCGCTGGAAATTGTTAAACTTACCAATGTTCCATAGCTGCTTTTTCAAAGTTCGACTGGAGTCTAAAGAAAGAGATAGAAAATGATGCCCGTGATTATTAAATTCAAACTCACATTTAGGCAGACGTCATAAAACCAGGTCAAGGTATTTCAGTTACAGCTAGAAATATCAAAAAAAAAGGAAATATGTGAGCAGTTTTAGGATGTGTTCTAAATACGTTGTGGGGGTGTTTGGGCCTCTTACATAATGGATGACTTGTGGTGATAAACCCTGTGGAATCTTATCAGTTGCCATAGCACCGAATGAACTGCTCTTTCATCAGTTGTGTAAGAGAAAGGTAATGTGGTTAGACTCACGATTGTATCAAGTTTCCATCTGGTTTTATGAATGGAAAATATTTCCAATTCTACACGCTTTCATTTCAAGCAAAGTTACGCTTGTAGGTTGGGATTACTAATAATAATCCTTGCAATTTGATATAGCATGTTTCACGTCTTCTAGATGTCTCAAAGCGCTTCACAGAATATTTCTGTAAAGCGAATTGACTATACTTGTGGGCGAAACGGGGCAGCCAATTGCGCACAGAGGTGTCCCACAAACAGTCGTGAATTGAAGTGACGAATTTAGAATTGTTCTTTTTCTTGAAGGATTATAATCAGGTGTGTGGAGTAAGGAAACTTGCCCAAGTTTTCGTCCTGCTGGGAATCTAATCCAGGTCTCTCGCTTGTGAAGCGAGTACTTTAACCACTGAGTTGCCATTTAAAAAGCAAATGCATTTCAATGTAGAAAAGTGTGAGGTGGTACATTTTGGTAGAAGGAAGAAGGAAGTTACTTACATACATCTTGGAAAATAAAACCCTAAATGGGGTAGAAGAGCAAAGGCACCTTGGGGTATAGATGCACAATTCACTAAAAATATCAACGCAGATTAATAAGGCCATAAAAAAAGCAAACCAGACATTGGGGCTCATTTCTAGAGGGATAGAGATGAAAAGTAGGGAAGTTATGGTAAACCTCTACAGAACCTTGGTTAGACCACACTTAGAATACTGTGTGCAGTTCTGGTTCCCACATTATAGAAGGGATGCAGAGGCACTGGAGAGGGTGCAAAGGAGATGCACAAGGATGATCCCAGAACTGAGAGGTTATACCTATCAGGAAAGGCTGAACATACTTGGACTCTTTTCTTGAAAAGAGTAAAGACCTGATAGAGGTCTTTAAAATAATGAAAGGTTTTGATAGGGTAGACATAGGGAAGATGTTTCCAATTGTGGGGGAAACCAAAACCAGGGGCCATCAATATAAAATAGTCACAATAGATCAAATAGGGAAGTTAGAAGAAATTTCTTTACACAGAGAGTAGTGGGAATGTGGAACATGCTACCACAAGGAGTTGTTGAGGCAAATAGCATAGGTGTAGTTAAGGGAAAACTAAATAGGAACATGAGGGAGAAAGGAATAGAAGGTTATGCTTGAAGACTTAGTTGAGGAAGGGCAGGAGGAGGCTCATGTGGAGCATTAACACCAGCATAGACCAGATGGGCCGAATGGCCTGTTTCTGTACATTCTAATGTATGTATTCTAATGTAGGACCCCAAAAGCGACAGTATAGATTAACTAAGGGCACAAAGATTATATAACTAACCAAAGCAAATAACAAAAAACAATTGAAAGTGAAACCAGACACCATCACAGAACTGCAAATAGTGCAAAGATCCTAAAGAGAATGCATTTTAACTGAAACATGAGAAGTAATTATACAAATGGAGCAAGACACAGTTGAGAAATATTGATGATTATCTGTTATTTTCCCTTTGGTACTTTGAGGTCAAAACTAAATTAAATAAACCCATTGATCGCAAAAGTTGACAATGGAGTCATGATGTCAACCTTCCCCCTAAGCCGAACTAAGTTTACACTGCTGCTGCTAAGAACATTTTAAAACGTAACATGTATTGCATTTGAGAATGCTTTTGCTTCCATTTTGCTCCTTGTACAGCTCCTGTGGGCGAGAGGAACTGTGGATGTGCGACCCAAATTTCAGTGCTTAACCACAAATGTCTTGAGCCAAATGCGTTAAGACACAACCTTAGAAGGTCATATCCTATTGATGCAGTGTAGCATTTCGCTACTTCCTACACCTGGCTATGTGAATGAGGTTATCAGTTTAGGTCTAGTCGCAAGATCAACACTCAACTCCTACAAATATAGCCAGTACTCCTACACTGACAATTTTCAGATTGTAACAGTCTCTGAATTTAGACCTGTGTCTGAGTGGATGATACAAAATATGGTGCTATAATGTTCTGCGTTTCAAGACGAAGCGATTCTGCTGATAGAATGTCATAATGCTGCTGTTGCTCATTTCCAAGTACAAGAAAGCCCATACATGGGCAATGCATGCTTTCCATTTTTACTCCCCATCAGCTAAGTTTCAATAAACAACAGAATATAGGAAAGACCACTTACTAGGATCATCAGTTTGCTCTCAGCCTCCAACTCTCCAGCCCAAACCTTTCCACCACAGTTTCCTCTGGTTTCAGGGCTCTAAGTTCTTATGGCCCACTGCCCATTTTGAGCTCTCTGTAAGCGCTTTTGAGCGCTTTGTGTCTCCTGAAATGGGATCAAAAGACAGACATTTGCTTAAGTGGATTACAGACGCAGTCTTCAAGAATGCAGAAAAGCTTTACAAACTGTTGACCAAGTTATACTCAAACCTACACAAGTAGACCAATACGTTTTGTCATTTCAATTTAACTTCAGGTTGATGAATTACAAAACTCATAGCGACATTTCCCAATCGAATGCCATGATTTGAGTCTTAATGAAAGATACATTTCACATTTCTATAATATCCTGTTTGCTCCATTACTCAGACTTGTTGACAACTTGCCATCAGTTTCAGCTACAAGTTGGTTTAATTTGTAAGCAGCAAAACTTGTATCTCTAACCACTGTCTTGACTTAACAGGAAATGCTGCACTTGCCACTTAGATGAGATAAGGCACCAAACACTATATCATCTGCCCTCCAACAACAACAATCTTGCATACTGTGATTAATCAGTTCAGTTCACAGAAACCATTGTTACATTTACTGTGACTGAATTTTGCACTGCACATTTTCAATACAAAATTACATTTATATAGCACCTTTCACATGAGGAGGACTTCCCAAAGTGCTGGACAGTCAGGGATTTGGACCCAAGCAGGGTGGGGGGGGGGGGGGAGATAAGGGAGGGGAGAAACTAGAGAGGGTGGCTGAAGGCACGGTTGAAGAGGAGGGTGTTGAGACGTGCCTTGAAGGAAGCAAGGGAGAGCGAAGCAAAGGGAATGTGGGATGGAGATCCAAAGGATGGGGGCCAAGAGGCTGAAGACCTGACCGCCGATGGTGGGGTGGGCCGGGCAGAGGAAGTGGAACAGGCCAGAGCCCACTGAGTGGAGGGATCGGACAGGTTGATAAGGGGTCGGCAGGTCACGGAGGTTGATCCAGGAAATACAAGCAAAATCTACTTGAATACAGTGCCTGTTGCACATGTGCTGAACTAAACTGAGCAGCTGGTAACTTGTGCTAATTCAAACCAAGAGATCTCACCAGGTCCACGGGGCTTCACCATTTTAGAAATTTTATGAGTCACACCAAACACGAGTCACAAAACGTGTCCTCAACAAGCCTGGAAGGGTTAGAAGTTTCCGAGTTAAAATCCCACGTCATTCAGTGTCCCACAATCTAAGCTGTTACTCCCACGCATTGCTGGAGGAGTGACACATTGTCAGTTGTTGTTCTCGAGATGAGACAAACTGAGGTGCCACCCGCCTGTTCAGTCAGTTAGCTGGGATTCACATCCGATAAAATGGTCAATCACCTAATCATTGTTCGTGGGATCTTGCAGGCATAAATTGCATATGTGTACAAATATTGTTTATGTACAAATATACAGTCACTACTGAGATTACATGCAAAGATTTAGAAGTGATTTTAAGGGCCTATAGGGAGTTTCTCCCACTGTCCTGGCCAGCAATTTCCTGAATAAAATTGATCAATCACTTCATGACTATGGGATATTGCTGAGCACAAATTAGCAGTCACATTTAATAATAATAATCCTTGCATTTGATATAGCGCTTTTCACGTCTTCTAGACGTCTCAAAGCGCTTCACAGAATATACTGTAAAGTGAATTGACGGTATATCCTGTGGGCAAAACGCGGCAGCCAATTGCGCACAGCAGTGTCCCACAAACAGTCGTGGATTGAAGTGACCAAATTATTATTTTTTTTTCTTGAGGGATTATTATCAGGCGTGTGGAGTAATGAAACTTCCCCAAGGTTTCGCCCTGCCGGGAATCGAACCCAGGTCTCTCACTTGCAAGGCGAGTGCTCTAACCACTGAGATACAGGACTCCAACATTACATTTCTCTCTAAAATAGTCACTACGCTTTACAATAAATCCTGTGAAGTGCTTTGAGACTTCCTCATGATATATATTATGCTATATATATATATATGATGCTATATCAATTATTACTACAATCATAGACACCAAGAATCTTATGTTTCATTGCATTGCAAATAAGTGGCATTAATTTCTAAATCTTGCATTGAACCTTGGAGAACATCAAAGCTGTACCCAATCTTGCTCTCACCCCCAACACTGAAACACACACATACACATCTTCCAGAAGTCTGAATAGTAATCAGGAGTGGGAATCCCTTCCAGTTGTCCTCTCCAAGGATAGTGGATTCCGTTGGATTGCCTCATTGTTAGCCAGGCTCAGATAGGTAGCAGTACATATGTCGGTTACATTTTAGTCATAAACATATTCCAGGGTCAACCCCATTATAAGGTGCCCTAGTGGAGCCTCAAGTTTGCTTATAGTGTGGGTCTCCTGTTGAGTTTTACTCGAAATGCAGTGCACTTGCAGGGTAGTGTGGCTGGCTGCATTTGCATGCATGCATGGTGCAGGAAGCCAGTCAATCACAACTGCTCACAATGCTAGATTTGTATTCAAGTACACAAATGCATTCTTTCCATTTTTATTGCGACTCCCTATCAGCTGAGGTGCAGTAAACAACAGTACATACAGGATTGTCCTGAGCTCCCAAAATGTGGGATCTTAAAGGGACTTCAGCCTTGTATTTTACAAACGTGACTTGAGGATTATGTTCATGGCCAGAGATGTTAACCAGCGAGATCGCTTATCAAACCCCAAAGTACAAAACTACAGAAGACACAATTAACTCTATACACTCAAAACACTTAATTTGTTGTGACACTGGAATTTGAATCTGTGCCATCCTGGTCTATGTATAACTGTGAGACCAGGTGGTAGTTTTATCCACTGGACAGTCAGAGAAAATTTCCAATAGTCTGTTTCTCAAATTGCTTTGTGATGGCAGGCGCAGGACTACTGACTCAGGCTGGTGTTGCTGGATAGACAGTACCGTACATAGTAGATGGCTTTGTTATTTTTGGTTGATGATACATGCCAACAGGGCATTAGTACTGCATGTAGGAGTTTAGAGATCTGTGCACCAAGGAGGTCACCCATTCACCTCCTCTGCTGCTCAGTAACATTTTCCTGGAAATATTTGCTCACACAGTATACCGTTATCCATATATGAGGCACCATGTTCTCACCTGTAAAGTGATGGTATTAATAATACTAATACCTGCATTTCGTATGGCACCTTATCACGTCAGAAGAATGTCTCAAAGTACTTCACAGAAATTACTGTGAGATGGAATGACAAATGCACAATTGCATACAGCAATGTCAAAGCAGAAGAAACTCCCTTCTCTTTTCGAAAAGTGCCATGGCATCTTTAACATCCACCTGAACACCTGGGACCTCGGTTTAACATCTAGTCCAAAGGATGGCACCTCTGACAATGCAACACAGCCCCAGCACTGCATTGGAGTGTAATCGTAGACAGTGTGATTCCAAGTACCATCGTGGGACTTGAACCCACAACTTTCTGACTCGAAGGCAAGAGATTTGATAGGGCAAAATCTTTGCTACACTAAGAAAAAATAGGGTTGAATCTTACACCCATAGTCGTTACACAGTAAATCCTGTGAAGTCCAATGATGTTTGATGTGGCATTATATGAATTGCTAAAGTATTGTTCTACCTGTTGCGTGAATTTCTCAGAAAACTGTAAAATGTACGTTTTAAATTGCATGTACTTTCTTTCTCCTCCTGTGTAATAATAATACTTGCATTTGATATAATACCAACAACAACATAATAATATAAAAGCAGTGGTTATGAGATGAAAGCTCATCAGCAAATAAGAAAGTACTACAAAATGATCCTTACCCCTGTCCAGTTTTATATTTGGTTAACTTTGGCAACTCTTAAGCAAATACAGAACATTCTAGTGTGGATTCAAATGCATGTGTTAAGAGTTATGTTCAGGCTATTTTCAGGTTAGCACTTTATTTTTGGCGGGGGGGGGCAAAGATTTTGTCAGTTTCTTAGTTTAAGAGTCAGGGTTGAATCTGAACGTGGGTCTACATGAGGAACGATAATGCTCTAATCCTGTGCCATTGAGCTTTTTCTTTAAAAAGACGATGAGCACATTTTTCTAAGATTGAATTGGAGGTAAAGTAAAACTAAGAACATTTTTAACTGAAATACAATATCATTATTCGTCCCAAGGCCAGCGCCTTGGGACGTCCTCCCGACGTGAAAGGCGCTCAATAAATGGAATCTTGTTGTTGTTATTTGTTAGAAAATAACTTCAATTTATTATCTTTGAGTAAAACTAAAGTAAACTTATCTGGATGGTTATGTGAAGCCAAGGGGGAAATAATTTAAAGCTAAATTATAGTTGACTAACATCTGATCCATTTATTTTAAACCAAAATCAAAGTAAAGCCAACGACCATTACAATTACCAATGAAATGACAAAACCACAGAATAAAGTGCTATATTAGTTGTAAGGATTTAGTAGATTTAATAATAATGCTTACATTTGATATAGTGTCTTATCACATCTTCGAGACGTCTCAAAGTGCTTCACAGGATATACTGTAAAGTGAAGTGACTGTTTATTTTGTGGGCAAAATGCGGCAGCCAATTGTGCACAGCAGTGTCCCACAAATAGCCATGGACTGTGTCGCTAATTTTTTTTTCTTTGAAGGGATAACCCCACCAAGTACATTTATTTCCCAGAATTTGTGAAGCTGCATACCATTTTGGTATAAACTAATCAAGTCCAGTCTAGAGTAAGAAGAAAGCCCATATGGAGTTAGACCAAAAATAACCCTCTGGAGAAAGAAAATCACCTGTATCTGGGGGCAAAAAATTCTGAATAGCACAAAACATAATCTGCATTGTTAGTAACTGAACAAAACCAATGGCATGCCTTACCTGTTGTCATCAAGTGAAGTTCATTTAACTTTTTAAGCACAATACATTCTGTAAGGTAATTTCCACATGACTGATAATAATCCCTCAAGAAAATAAAACAAATAATAAAACAAAGAAGAAAGAATTTGTCTAAGGCTTGTGTAAATGGGGCAACCAAGTGAAACAGAACGCAGAGAGAAGTGATTAAGTGCTCCTCACTAGATTACGATATATTTGTTCATGCATGTCTGGAAAAGCACCATTTAACTTTCGCTGGAAATAATTTTGGAACTACATGAATGAGAGCTATTCTAAGTAGGCTTACTGTATAAATCATTGAAATGACAAGACTTTCACAGCTAAAGGACACCAACATATTATGTTACTAGTTTTACTTGGACAATAAGCAACTAGTATAGATTTTATAGGTCTAAATATATCATTTCATATATAAAATTGTTGACTAACTTATGACATATTAAAGTCATTGTTCATGCTATTCATAAATATCATTAAAGTTGTTAAATCTACAAAATAAAAGTCTGGATATTTTGCAGTTCTTATGGGTTTAATTTTTCAGTCAAAAAAACACAACCAAATACATCAGGAAGGTGAAAACTAGATACAAATAAAAACTAGATACAAAATGGGGGAAATGGAGATTTGGGAAAATCAAAAATCTCTGAAATCAAGCCAAATATTAGCAAAGCATTAGATGTCCTGGCCAACTTGAACTCAGTGGTTGAGAAAAAGCTATGAAATGAATGACCAATTTTGTCTGAGGGATTGTTGACCAGGACAATGAGAGAAACTCCTTTAAAATGATGTCCCAGGATCTTTAACATCCACTCAAACAGGCAAATCGGGAACTTGGCAAAATATCTTATCTGAATGATGGCACCTCAGTCAACACAACGCCAGCTCCCCCAGCGCTGCACTGATGTCAACCTAGACTGAGCTTAGACTCTTAATGTGGGGCTTAAACAAACAACCTTCTGACTCAGAGGTGAGAGTGCCAGCCTGACCTCTCAGCTCTTTTTCATATCCTCAGATACACCCTCTTTCCATGTATTTGTCCAATTCTTTTTAGAATGCTCCAAATTACCTCCAACAGCAACACCTGGCAAATCATCCACGCTCCAACATCCCTGGTAGAAGTTCACCAAGTATCTGCTTGTACTCTAATCACAGCTCAACAAAATGATAATCTGAAAAAGAAAATCTTATCTAAGATTACAAAATATTATCAGGCATCTAAGAAGTACAATACCCGAGTGATAGGTTAATTCTCAACAACATTCTGCCAAATTATACCTGTAATACACAAGGCAGTCACTTTCACTCAGTGTGAATCTGTTTTATCAGCTATTCCCATTAATTACAGAAGTTGAATTTCAAGTTTAACTTTAAATCAAAACACCCAAACGAAGTGAAATAAGACCATCAAGTACTGAAATTTGTGTCATTTATCACTTGACTTATGAGTCACTCTTTTAACAAAACATAATGATGAAAGGAAAGTAGTCAGAAAGAAGCTAAATAGGATTCATTTGTGGTTGTTTGTGCTAATGACAGAGTTCTCACACTGAAAGGTTTGCACCAATTCGTTTTGGCATCAGAGGCATAGGAAAGGTTAATCATGATTAACACATTAACAAAGAAAATTTCTGTAAGTTCCCTTTACCGGGATCAAATCAATAATAATAAAAAAAACCTTGCATTTGATAAAGCGTCTTCAAGACGTCTCAAAGCGCTCCACAAAAAATACTGTAAAGTTAATTATTTTTGTAGGCAAAATGCGGCAGCCAATTGCACACAGCAGTGTCCCACAAGCAGTCGTGGATTGAGTGACCGATTTTAAAAAACATTTTAAGGAATTATTAGCCACGGAAAAGCAATCCGCCAATCGTATAACAACCGGGTTCCTACATACTGCTAGGTAAACAGAGACATGTGGAGTAAGGAAACTTGCCCAACATTTTACCCTGACGGGGAATCGAACCCAGGTCTCTCGCTTGCGAGGCAAGTGCTCTAGCTTGTGAGCTACAGGATTCCACCTTAACTTCAAGTTGAGACTGAATTCAACAATTGGCCGTATTCTAGATGCACTAAAATGTTTTATAAAGAGTAAATCTAGACTCAGGTGGAATCCCAACATTTGTAAAGCTCTCTGGGACGCTACCCCACGCGCAGGGCGCTATACAAGTGCAAATTGTGGTGGAGCAAACAATACGATAATTGCACATTTCTTACTCTACATTCTAAGTGCTTCAAACAGTCCTCCCAAGATGAAAGGTGCGATACAAGCATAAATTGTATTACAACTTGTGAAACAGGAAAGTGTGCCTAGGTGAAGATAACAGAGGAGGTATCAATTGACAGCACCGGTGGTTCAGGCGAAGCTGCCATCGTTACGCCCACTAACATTAACTTCCTGTCCCTGTGGCTTTTGCATCGGTTTAAATCTGACTGTCAAGAGGATAGCGAAATGGGGTATTTCTTGATTTGTTAATTGGCATTTTAATCTTCACCTGGAGGCTGGTGGTTCTGAAACAATAAGTAGTCCCATACACAAGACATGTATTACTTGGGGACAGGAAGCCACCAAGTAGAAGACCAGAAGCAGGTTGTGGTTTTGCACACTGTAGCCAGAATTGTAAAATAAATAAAATAAAATAAATAATTCAACGTCAAAAATCAATTGAAAATGTACCCAAGCGCAGTGACAATGCTGGGATGTTTGACTTGGATCTTCATGTCTTTGGGGAGTGCGCCCGTCAGCTCTAAAGGTAGGATTGGTACCAGTTTGTCAGCTCTATTCTCAATTCTTCTTCATTTAACATATAGTAATAATCCTTGCATTTGATATAGTGCTTTTCATGTCTTCGAGATGTCTCAAAGCGCTTCACAGAATAGACTGTAAAGTGAATTGACTGTATATTCATGGTCGAAACGTGGCATCCAATTGCGCATGGCAGTGTCCCACGAACAGCGTGGATTGAAGTGACCAATTTATTATTTATATGGATGCACTCTAAACTTAATGTTGCTTATTCAAAAAACTCTTAAACATTGTATTGAGTCTCAATTATAACAATATTAAATAGAAAATTAAGTTTCCTAGTCAGACCCTAGAATTGCTGGAATTTTCCCGTGCTCAGGAATTTTCTTACATTTAATGCTTAGTGATCGCCTTACAGCACTATTACATTCTGTAACAATAATAAGGTGTTTATATTGTATACCATAATTTAGCTGCTTTACTTTGGTTAATTTTAATGTAGCAGGCTGTGTATTTGCAGCCCTGCGTGTTTTTTAAAAAAAGTTTGTATCACTGGATGCTTGATTTTGAATTGTTGGAACAAATCTGTATTATAATAATCCTTGAATTTGATATAGCGCTTTTCACGTCGGGAGGACGTCCCAAAGCGCTTCACAGAACACACTGTAAAGTGAATTGACTGTATATATGTGGGCAAACGCGGCAGCCAATTGCGCACAGCAATGTCCCACAAACAGTCGTGGATTGAAAATGACCAATTTATTATTTTTTTTTGGTTTTGGAGGGATTATTATTAGGCGTGTGGAGTAAGGAAACTTGCCCAAGGTTTCGCCCTGACCTGCCTGGAATATTCCTGGTATTGTACGAGTGTAAAGAGTGCTGCTGGGGACTTTGCAGTGAGATCCATATCAAATCATAATTGGTTAGATTATATCATCTGTAGCTTCATAGAAGACCAATGATTTTCTGTCAAATCTTGCAAGCTTGTAAGGAGAACTTAAGAATTTCTTCACCCAGAGAGTAGTTGGGATGTAGAATTCCCTGTCAAGTAGAGTGGGGGAGACAGATCCACTGTGGCTTTCAGGAGAGAAATAGACAGACATATGAAAGAGAGTGCCTTAAAAGGGTTATGGGCAATGGGAATTAAGCGACCGCCTTGCTCTGTGAACTGGTGCAGACTCTTTGGGCTGAAAGGTCTCTTTCAACACTATAAGATTTCTCAGTTTCTCTATAATTAAAGCTGATTCAAGTGCTCATTTTAAATTGAACTTCAACAGTTGTACTATGCTGCTTTTCCGGGGGTAATAATTTCTTTTTAAAAAAAATTGGTCACTTCAATCCACCGCTGTTTGTGGGACACTGCTACGTGCAATTGTCCCACAATGTGGAGTCCTGTAGCTCAGTGGTGAGAGCACTCGCCTTGCAAGCGAGACACCTGGGTTCAATTCCAGGCAGGGTGAAACCTTGGGCAAGTTTCCTTACTCCACACAGAGCCTAATAATAATCCCTCCAAAACAAAGCAATAATAAATTGGTCATTTTCAATCCACGACTGTTTGTGGGACACTGCTGTGCGCAATTGGCTGCTGCGTTTCGCCCACAAACGTACGGTCAATTCACTTTACAGTCTATTCTGTCAAGCTCTTTGAGACATCGAGAAGACGTGAAAAGCGCTATATCAAATGCAAGGATTATTATAATTGGCTGCTGCGTTTTGCCGACAAAAACAGTCAATTCATTTTACAGTATATGCTGTGAAATGCTTTAAGACATCTCAAAGACGTGATGAGGCGCTATATCAAATGCAAGGATTATTATATTCTGAAATAGCAAACCATTGATCTGTAAAACATGTGTACAGTATAGACAATATACAAGAAAACCTTACAAACACCCCCACAAGATCGATTTGGATGAAGAAAGTCCTTCAGCCCATACAATCTCAGCCTTTCAGGAAAAAACACTGCCTACTGTCCTTTTACAGCATCAAGCTGGTGGGTTTTTAAATAAAAGGACTCCAGCGTCCTTGCCTCAACCGCCTTCCTGGCAAACCTTTCCAGTCGTTAATTACCCTGAAAGTAAGGAAAAATTTCCTGGTATCTTTCCTGAAATTGCCATTTGCAACTCTAAACCTACATCCTCTTATTCTACTGTCTTGGTGAATCCAGATGTATTGTTCGGGGTTTCCTTGTTCCATTCCCATTTAAAGTTTTATAAACCTCAATAAGGTCTCTACTCTCCGAGTCTTCTCTCAAGGCTGAAAATGGGAATCAATGAAATATGCAAGTAAAGCCGATAGTTACAAATACAGTCACTACACTCTCTACAAAAACATTGAGAAGCACTTTGAAATGTTTGGCATCATAGTTGCTTATATCAAGTGCAAGATTACATTTTAGCAAAGAATTGAACCTTCTGCATGATGTGTGGTGCAGTAATAATGGGTGTGGTTAGATATGTGGTCTCTGTAAAACATACGCAGACTGTCAAGAGCAGCACATTTTGAATTTAAATGCTTCAAAGTTAGCAGAGTATCTGACTTCTTTACGTGTTGAGGATAAGCAAAGCAAAACAGCCTCATTGTAGATCGGATATTCAACAATAATCGTTGCATTTGATATAGCACTTACTCAGATTGTTGAGATGACTCAAAGGGCTTCACAGAATATATTGTAAAGTGAATAGACTGTATATTTTGTGGGCAAAACACAGCAGCCAATTGCGCACAGCAGTGTCCCACATATAGTCGTGGATTGACTGACCGCATTTTTTTTTGAGTGATCATTACCCCAGAAAGCGGTCTACCAATCGATTAAACAGGTTCCTACTTACTACTAGGTAAACAGAGGAGCGTGGTGTAAGGAAACTTAAGGTTTCACCCCACCTGAGAAACAAACCCGGGTCCTCTTGTTTGGAGGCGAGCAAGCTAAACTCCACGCGATGGGTCTCCACAACCTATTCATTCATCTTAAAGCCACTGCTTCAACATTGGCAAAGTGAACATTTTACAAGACTCCATATTTCCAATAAGACAAGCTTATTATAATCAAAACAGTAAGGAAACATTTAGCCTTATTTAATAGATTACATTATTTGTCAGTAGACATTTCAGACCTGAATTCTACGTGCGTACCACCGATTGTAATTTAAAAGAAAAATCAGGTTTAAAGGTTAGGGTCAGATCTCCACATGGAATTCCAAACTTCATTCTATTGACTATCATCATAAAAATGCTTCCAGTGGAAGATCTTCCTGAGGGATTGTTAGCGCTTAAACTAAAGAAAGTGTTATTTTTATTCAAATCGTACTAATCTTTTTCACACATCATATTTTCAGTTCAATCTCGTCAAGTGAGAGTTTAAGCAGTGATTTTGTGCAGCGCAATTCTTAAAACCGGAGCAATCAGCAAGAAAGCTTGTTGAAATAAGTAAAGCTTTTGAAGAGAAATTGGTTACAGAAACTTAAGTCAGAGCAGTTCTTTTCAACCGTGCCTTCAGCTCCCCTCTCGACTCTCTATCCCCTCCTCGCTCCCTCCCTTCCCTCATCCTGAACATTTCCCCCCGGCTCGGGATCCGACCCAACTGTCCAGCGCCTTGGGACGTCCTCCCGTCGTGAAAGGCGCTCTATAAATGCAATCTTGTTGTTTCTTCAGTCGCATAACAAGGCTGATGCCGAAACTTCCAATGCATTTTATCTGATCAGTTTTTAATTCCGTTCAGCACCCCTCAGGTTAATTTCCAAATCCAACTCGCAACTTTCCCAAAGTTACCAATGTAAACCAATTGCTAATTTCTAAAGAACAAATTCTAAAGAACATACAGGTATTTGGAAGTTGGAATAGGTAGGTCCAAAAAGGCATCAGGCTAGCCTTAATCTCAATAAGATTAAATAACACCCAGAGCTGCACTGCTAACCTCATATCTGGATACCTCAAGCACCTACTAATGTTTCCTGGTCAGCACAGAATTAAAAAGCAGTTAAAGCATTCTCTTCTCTGTCCACAGGGATTCTAGTGAAGCAGTATCCTTCAGATCTATGTGTCGGACTTGGACATTCAGCTGCCATCATTTGCGCTTTTGAATTCGACATTAAAGATGGAGCCAAGATCGACGTTTACTGGCTCAAGCGTGAAGATCAAAATGAAATTAAGACTGTAGTTCACACTGCTTTGAAGAACTTTCCCACGCTGAATACAAATGCAATTCACAACGATTCTAAAACTGGCTTCAGAGTCTCTGGCAACTTAAAACAAGGTTTCCTTATTCTGGAATTAAAAAACATTCAAGAAGCAGACTTTGGTTTGTACATCTGCAAAATAACTGGAACCATACCACCTCCACATGTAGAAGGAAAAGCCAACGGCACCCTCATTAGTAAGACAGCCATTCATTATCTACTTTGTCATGACTGAACATTTATAGTCAAATGTGAAGGATGACTATTGCAGGAAACTGCACATTTTTCTACTAAAAGCCAGTGACAGGATCCGGAATTCCCATGTCAGACTAAGCAAGAGGATAGATGCAATGTAACTCTCTCTAGACAGCTCTTGAAACAACAACCCAAAAAACTCAAAACTTGTCTTGTTTCTTATAATTCTTGTTTCTTATAATTCCCCTCCCCAAGCAAATTTAACCCAAATTCAAACACCTAAGCCACTCATTGATGTTTGTAGAATGTTCCTGGCCCAAATTAGCTGCTACGTTTGTCCACATAATATTCACTTTCATTTCTGAATTAATTGGATTTTGTAAAGTGCTTCAAGAATTTACAATGAAAGGCAGGCACTATGCAGTCTTATATGCAATGGATTTCTAATTGAATAAGGAAACTGAAAGCAGTCTTGCTGAATGGAAGAAACTCTATTCTGACATGAACTGCTTTCAGAGTGGATGCCCAGAGTGAATTGTCACAATGTGCCTGACAATTTTTGTTATTAGAGGGGTTCCCGATTCAGCTTCCTTATTTAAGAGCTATCTCTAGACGTTATGGCATATAGCATTGCACTTCTAAGTGCTTGTTTAGCAACACGAACAGTATTCTGCCATCACGCTGCTCAGAAGTCATGATTTAATAGTTTCACACCATAAAAGATTTTATAACCATCGAAGAATCAGAAAAAAAGGACTTTTATCTTGGTGAGTTGGGCTGGATTTGATTCCAGGTCCCAAAGAGACAAAAACTCAAAGTACTTACCCACTAATCTATGAATCTCGCCTAATGAGATCCTCATTGATTATATGTATATATATAATAATAATTCTTGCATTTGAAATAGCACCTTATCACATCTTTGAGACATCTCAAAGCACTTCATGGAATATACTGTAAAGTGAATTGACCGTATATTTTGTGGGCAAAACGCGGCAGCCAATTGCGTACGGCAGTGTCCCACAAACAGTCAGGGATTGAGTGACCAAGTTATTATTATTTTTTTCTTGAGGGATTATTATCAGGCGTGTGGAGTAAGGAAACTTGCTCAAGGTTTCGCCCTGCCGTGAATCGAACCCAGGGCTCCTGCTTGCGAGACGAGTGCTCTAACCAATGAGCTACAGAACACCACAGGATTTCATATTATAAACACCCTTAATTTACACTGCCACTATGGTTTCATGCGAAGCCTATGGTCAAAAACTTGTGCCACCACCTTGAATTTCCACTTAACAATCCGACCTTGTGGTTGCTGAAATTCTGCTATCTGTGATCAGACAACAATGGAAGCACTGAAATCTTTAATTATAAAATTTCACCAGTTGATGAAACCTGGCCCTTTTCATCTTGCAATTTGAAAATATCATTATTAGAAGCATTACAACAACAACAAGATTCCATTTATAGAGCGCCTTTCACGTCGGGAGGACGTCCTAAGGCGCTGTATTAAACACATTAACCACATTACCTTTGCTGAAGCATTATTAACCACATTACCATTGCTGAAGCATTATTAACCACATTACCATTGCTGAAGCATTATTAACCACATTACCTTTGCTGAAGCATTATTAACCATATTACCATTGCTGAAGCATTATTAAATACATTACAGTGCTGCTAAATTCCTTAATACAAGAGTACCAACTGAAGCAGCTCATTCATAAGTGATAGGAATCACAGCTCGATACTGGGTCGAGGCTAGGGTCTGGACTCCACACTAATGGATATCATGTTTCTTTTCAGAACACAGCTGTGACAGAGGTTGTACTCACACATCAGGTAAATCTGATGGGTTCTTTTTTAATAAAAATCTCATATTCATCTCCTTTTGAAATGCCTCAGAGTGTTGGCATTCTATAAATCATTTCAATTTCAAGCTTAGCACGTTTAACTGATAACCATTGAATATCAGATATTTGTAACATTTTGGGTAGTGGGGGTATGTAGATTTAAAATTCAAAAACAGATTCTATCAGTAACTACATTAATTTTGATTATTATTAACTTGTAACAAATCATCTTACCTTTCAGAGACCAAGAGACTTCTGCCGCAAACAAGTAAGAGACACAATAGATTTTTTATTTACGTACAGAATATTTGAGTTGAAGAATAATTTAAGACAATTAAGTGCAATAATTATGACATGAATGTGAAACATTAACAGTGAGACACTATTAACTTTAGGTCTATGTAGGAGCTTGTACCCCTTCAGAGTAGCTTTGCGACTCGACACCATGTTAATTCTTGTATTTGATATAGCACTGTATCATGTAGTTGAAGCATCTCAAAGCATTTTACATAATTTAATGGAGTATAGCTATGTACTATATATACTATATATATACACTTATATTTTGTAGGTGAACACAGTAGTCAATTTGCGCAGAGGAATTTTTTCACAAACCACCATGATGTGAATGCCTAACTTTATTGTGTGGAAGGGGAGTGAAATTGTTGGCCAGGACACCAGAAGGAGGACTGTAGAAATAATGTCGGTCCATAAAGTATAAATTGAATATAATAATAATATAATAATCCTTGCATTTGATATAGGGCCTGATCACATCGTTGAGACATCTCAAATTACGCACATTCACACAGTTTACTAACAAATAACAATTTCAGCGTTACACCCATAAAGCAAGTAAGCGTTTCCTCAATTAAAGTACAATAGTCAAATACCATTGAGATTTACACAATTAATTTACTTGTTTAAGGTAGTACAAACTACAATATATGGGTTGTATCTACATAAAATAAGTGTTAAGGAACAGCAAATCAATCAAAAACAAGGAACGTTTACTTCATTTATTTTCTTGTTTCTGTTTCAGTTTCAGTTCCTGGAAACACAACACTGTATCAGAATCACGGTAGCAATGGCAGTATATTAATTGCTATTGTTGGGTTCCTTGCGACATATGCTTTGATTATCACAATCATTGCATTAGTTTGTCAGGTAAGATAACTTGCTGATCCTTCGTTGACCATTAAATGTTTGCCTGCAAATATAAACTGTTACTCCATTGGAATGAGTAATGATAGTTGTGGCAACTTTCTTCCTTGCATTTTCATTTAAAACAGCATCCGTCACATTAAAGCATCTCAGAGCACTTCACATGAATTTCTGTAAAAGGTGTAGTAACTGTATTTGTAGGCAAACAAATACACATAATCCTTTTACCACTGTGCAGCATTCCGAGATGCTATCTTGTGTCAAGGGCACTGTATAAATGCAAGTTCTTGTGATTGACCCATTTTCATCTAAGTCTAGGGATAGGTAAATTGGAAATAGACTGTGCAAGAAAAGACTAATAACGCAAGGCCCAACTCTGAGCTTATTATTACTTAAACAGGATTTAGTGCATTTGGGGATTTTTAAAATATAGTTTCATTCAAACAGCAATATTTGACTAGAAAACTATAGCTTTGGCAATGCAAAGGCTCTTTGATCCATTTGTTCTCATGTTTCCACTGTAACAGCATCAATCAAACCACTTCTAAAATGAGTCAACCGTCTTAGTCTTAACTACAGCAGCCCTGTTTATAGCAGCAACACTACCCATAAGTTATGCAGGCGGCATTCCAGCCTACATCATCTCAAACATTAAACGTATCCAAATCTGCATCATTATAGAATGGAGGCATTCAATACCTTTCTTGGTTTTGATAGTCCGGACATCAAACCAAAGTCATTCTTGTAAAAATAAATATCCAGAGAGTTAATTCCTCAAGAGCCATTCTCCTACAGTCTCTCAATTCAAATTAAAAATGCCAGACAGTCCACAACCCTGTTGCCTACCAATTGGTAATGTCACCAGGTCTGGCAAGTTCAACAGAGTCATCAGAAATACTTCCATAATGATGAAAAACAACCAGTTAATTAATTAATCAGAAAAGAAGCATTAGACTGCCACCACCTAACAAAGGTAAAGGTTAGCTATACCGCAACCATGCATAAAATCAACAAACAGATCACATCTCAAAACACAGTCAGTCTTCTCAGCTACAAAACAGCCATCTTACTTCTCACCTGGCCATTGTCTCCTGTTCACCAATTTTCTCCCAACTAAAGTCCTTAATGGCTTTCATTCTCCTGCCAGACTTTTCTATTTGTTACACATGTTTCCCTTTTTAACTTCCTTCCAGTCCCTTAAAAGGGTTATTCTTTGCGGGACCACCCTTTTGTAGTAATAATAGACACAGGGGCCTGAAGTTATTTACTATAGCCATCTAAAGTTCAACTCAAATGAGGCAGAAACGATTGTTACACTCTTTCTCTCGTCAGCTTCCGTTTCTGTTAATTATTTTTCAGAAGACAAATGATTAGCTTCTGAATATTTGATTGCATTTACGTGTTACGGGAAACATTTGTGTGATGCATTCTTTTTCTCTTGATGAACAGTTTCACAAAAAGAGATCAAAAGACGTAAAGGGGGACTCGATGATATATGAAGACATGAATAGAGTAAAGCATGAAATGATGGGAATGAGAACATATTAGAATGTCTAACTTGGATATGGTGATTTCATCCCCTGCACATACCAATGAACACTGTGTTTCGATAGTGGTTTTCCATTCATGTTTCCTGCCCTCCGTTTGTGGTCTGAAGAGAAGTCCCTACAAAGATGTGTTAACTCCTCAGTTTTCTCACCATTCAATGAAATCAAAAAGGATAAAAATAATAATGTTTAATATCAAACTGTAAACCAGGGGCCTAAAATGCTTCTACATATTCTTAGCCTTTGTCTTAAAATTGAATATTGTGCAGAATTTTGAAAAACAATTTAGATTTTGTCTCCATTTGGAAGCCCAAATTGCCCAAAGCCATCTCTAGGTTTCGGTGTACATTGCAACACTTGCACATTTGAAGCCTGAACTAACCTTTAAAAAAGAATATTCTTGACCTTAAATAGAGACAGATGCTCATTACATACCATGCCATTTGTCCCTCTCACATAGCTTCTCTATATGGTATAAGGAATCTAATGAAAAAAGCCAATGTTAACCACTTTCAAAAGGATGGTCTACAAATTTTCTTAACATCAATGTAAATGGTAAATGTTTCAATTTTTTTTAAATATGGGGTAAACTCTGAATTCTATTTTACTGTTAATAGAATACCACTTTGAAAATATTACATTAAATGTAACACAATTAAATGTTGCGTTTTTTTAAATAAACAAATTGTGTTGTGAAGATTTTGTAAAATTCATTTTCTTGGCTGATGGAATTGCAAGCTTCATAGCAGCCCAACATTTCTCATGCTCAGTGAGCACCTTGGGACGTCCTCCTGACGTGAAATGTAATGTGTTGTTGTCAATGGTCGTAGCTTTAAGACTTGTGCTTTAAATGTTAGTCATGCAGAATTTTGGAAAGTTCTTGAATTCCACCTTGATTTCGAAAGCTGTTCTTTAGAAAACAAATTTAAGAATTTTTCATGGCCACTTTCCATTTTCCAATCTTGAATTTTAAGAGAATAGTCTTAAGACTAAGATCATGAGAAATACTGTGCTTCATCTGGACACTGGAGCTGTGCAAGGATCCTCGTTAAGAAACGGTTGAAGAAATATCACAAATTAGCAGTAATATCACCTATATACATGATTGTGGGTCTGTATGTAATATATATGCGTATGCATATACATATTTGTTTAAATGTGTTAAAATGTGACTGTATCATGACGATGTTATGAAAAGGCTCAACTCTTTTACTCTTGTGTTATTGGAACAATCTCTACTGATTTAAACAATTGTGGTAATGCTTTTCATTAATAAACATAAACATAAAATAAACATATATGTTGCTGATCTTTATTCAGAACAAATAAATACAAGAACTCTGAGTTGCTACCCCTCATGAAGGGTGCTGTATAAATGCAAGTTGTTTTTGTTACACATTCTTTTAAGTCAATAAGTTTTAATTGTAAATAACTTTACCCCAATTTTATGTCAGTGAGTATACAGCAGACGTTGCATTAATGCCATTTTACCTTGTGTTATTCAATCCTAAATTTGACTCCAGAAAAATATGTTCAACCTTTACATGATAAAAGGTAGTGGGTGTCTATAGGCATATGTCAAGCAACGACCGAAACAAAAACAGGAGCACCCTCTGTATGATGTACTGACACACAACATTGTGTATACTTAATAATGTGCATCACTGAGAGAGTACTGCAGAATAGGTGTGGATGTTAACGTAAGATAATCTGAAAGTCTTGACAACAACTTGCATTTATATAGCGCCCTTCATGCTAAGTAGTTGGGGAGCTGATTTAGATAGAAATTGTAAAGCACTCGTACAGAGATGAACCCCCACCCCAAAAAAATACTTTTAGTTATCTTCAAAATAAAGGTTACAATGTCTTAAGAACAGCACCTGAAACAAACGTAACACAGCGTGTACCTTCCCTATAGCCTCTCAAATTACTCGCTGTCCAATTGAAGAACGTATGGAACACAGGTTTCCTGATGGATTTATGGTATGCGGAAAACCTGTTGGTGAAAGTAGCAGCTGCACTAGCCCTCGGAACAATGTTGTGGCCTGTATTCCGGGGCAAACCAAATAAACACCCGGAAATGTTCTGCTTCCAGAATCAAAAACCCGATGGAGGAAAAAAGTAGAAATGAACTGCATGTGATTACCAATTTTAGCGTCATCCTGGGCTTACTTAAAACCACAGCAAGAGGCCAGTTGGTTCACTGTGCCTGTGCTGGCTGGCTGGCTGCAAAGAGGCTGGTCACATTTAATCAACAACGACAACTTTCATCCATATAGCACCCTTCATGTGGATAGTGTCTCTGAATGCTTGACAGCAAACCAGAAAGAGGGGGGTGGGAGCGGGGGGGGTGTGGGGGGGGAGGTGACCGAACACACGGTCGAAGCGGAAAGTCTTCAGGTGTGATTTGAGGATGGGGAGAGAGGGGGCAAGACGGAGGGTTTGCGGCAAGGAGTTCCACTTTACATGCTTAGTTTCTAACACTTTTGTATTTCTACCTTGTTTTTCGCCCTCAAATATACAGTCAATTCACTTTACAGTCTGTTCTGTGAAGAGCTTTGCGACGTCTAGAAGACGTGGAAAGCGCGATATCAAATGCAAGGATTATTATTATTAATACCGTGTATGTGTATTTTAATGCCAGTTTCTGGTGTTGGTATTGATCAGAGCCAACATGAGCAGATATCAGGGTATATTGTTGACAGGCAGTTTGAGTATCTCAGCTGTCAGGCCAAAGGGTAAATTGTTTTGCCCTGTGCCCACCTGCCACATGAAACCTCTGAGTTTCCTCTCTCTCATCAACTGCCCGTCACCCGACATAGGTAAGCAAATGATAATAATTTGGTCACTGAATCCATGATTGTTTGTGGAATGCTGTTGTGCGCAATTGGCTGCCGCGTTTTGCCCACAAAATACACAGTCAATTCATTTTACAATATATTCTGTGAAGAGCTTTGAGACGTCTCAATGAAGTGATACGGTGCTATACCAAATGCAAGGATTATTATTAAATCTATAACGAGGCCGGAAAATGTTAAAATTCACAATATAATTATTTGAAACAAATACTCAAACGCCTCCCTGTTTAAAATAAGATTTTTAAAAAAGTAATAACAAAGAATATATGTGCAACGTTCTCCTGACCACGATACTTCTGAGCTTGGCAGCCGGTTAATGCGTGTTAATTGGTATCAGAACTGGTGATGAGACACCAATACAGACAGAACTGTTGTGAGTTTGTTCTAAAAAGATCACTTTTTTAAAAAAAAAAGTATGTTCTTTCCAAAAGACTGTCTGTCTCTGAGCGGCTGCATGTTGGAAATAAGATACAGCATGGGATGGTAGGAGATACACTGCTTGATCAATGCACTCACCCTCTGCTGAATTTCTTGAGTTGAGTTATGCTGCTCAAAGGTGCTCAAGTACAATAACTGAGTGTCTTGGTTCTGTAAAATGGGGTCGCTCGTATATTGATAGCCTGATCTGCTGGTTTTCATTTTCATTCATTCACCAGTGCAAAACAGTGTAACTGTCTAAAGCTGGTTTTATTGCAGCTAAATCTGTTTTGTTATAAATAACAGTGTCCTGTAGATGATGTCCTAGTTTACAGGTAGTGGCTGAATTAAAAGCAACACAATGTCTTTTCATTTCTGCCCTGGTTTGTAGGTTCCAACCTGTCTGACCTTTTTTTAAAAAATAAAAAAAAATACAGGGTTCATAGCAAAACATTTTTTTTGCAGCAGCAGTTTTCCTGAAACATTGTGCTGTAGAATTCTTGAGGCCTGGAGTATCTGAACAGGCATTTAATTATTTTGGCCATGGAGGACACTGATTGCTACTCCAGGATCTTAAAACTGAGTTGGTGGCATTTTTTTTTAAAACAACATCTGTTTAAAGTAATGACTTAATGTCAATCAAGTGCAGCCACTGATTTTGTGGGGAAAACTGAGCTGCCTTTTTGCACACAGCAGAGTCCCAGGACCAATCTTGTGATGAGCAACCAACTGAACCAAAGGAGGGGCTGTTGGTCAGAATAAACTTGACATCTCTTTTAAAGTAATGCGGTACTTGAAGTGCTATTCTTTTGGGCAGCCAGGTCTCTGCCACATGTAGTCATTACCCCCCCCACCCCCCAAAAAAAACCCAATGCAATGGATCTTTACTTTAGGTGCAATTGGGTGTCAATCAATAATCTTTGGTTGAGTCAAATTCACACCTCGTGGCCTTATGCAATTCACTGCTGAGTTCAGATAATTGGGGTTAAAAATTATTTTAGAAGCAGACGTGTGCAGTGAATTGGAGGCGCTTTTTTTTTGTTAGCACAGAAAATGCAAAGATACACCCCAACAAGAAGCTCACCTGCAGCCAGAAACAGTGCATAATAAATATGAGTTCAAAATTGCGGGTGTTTTGCAACATTTTCCGCAAGACTGCGGGACCCCCCCCATATATAAAACACATGCAAACCAGCCAAAAGGACACAAAGAACCCTCGACCTCGGAGTCTCAGCCCCCTCCCCACCTCCCCACCCCTCCCCTCCCCTCCCAGGCTCTGCACCTCTCCACACGTGTCCATCCAATGCTCTACTGCAACACCGAAGTGTTTGGGCGTCATCGTTGGTGGGGACAGCGATAGAGGTGGTTGTCTGTGCATAGTGCGTCCTCCTGGTTGTGAGGCAGAGTCCAGTGGTGTTGGACTCAGTGGATCTGATCTAGTCTGTGAGTAAGCAAAGTGTAGGGAGTGAGTGGGTGGGTGGGTGGGTGGGGAGGGGGGAGATCAGTCAGGGACCATAGACTGAACAGATCAGGGAGAGAGGCAGAGACAAGAGAAAGGTGGAAGGACCAGAGGACAAGGTGCGGGGGATCAGAGGGAGTCAGACTGAAGCTTGAGAAGATCAGAGAGGAAAGGGAGGGTGGTGGGGGGAAGAATGTGGAGCTGGAAGTTCTGGGCTTGGAGCGCGATGGTCCTAGTTGTGTGGATCTCCATCAAGCGGGTGCAGGGCACCAATCTGGGTAGGGACATGCCAACTTTGCCCGCAGCTGGCTGGGGCAGAAATCCTCTTGTCCTGAAAAGCGAGGTGCTCTGCCACAGGAGGATAGACCTAGAACTTCTCCGCCGACTGCTCGCCAATGGAAGCGTGACCATTGACACCTTTTGCAAAGGTGTGTCGGCTTCTGGGAGAAACGGCAGGAGGAGAGGTAGGAAAGGTCGAAGGATGCTTCTTCCAGAAGAGATCAAAGACGAATCTCGTCCGATGCCTCCAGTTAAATCTCAGGATTGCCTGAGCGGCAGGGTGTGGGAGATGCTTCGAGGGCTGCTCCTGAGTGCTTCGCCCAAGTCCACCTTTGGATGGTGTGACACTGAGATAGGATGGAGCCTCCAACATCGTTTAAACCTGACATTGCCCCTTCGAATAATGACGCTGCCATTGACACAAGGTAAGTCAAAAAACAGTTCAAATCATCTCCACCAGCAATGCTACATTTAATCAGGACACTGCTGTTTGTTAACATTATTATGGGCTGGCTGTCCATCGAAATCAATCAAGGACACAAGGAATTCTGCAAAACAGTAAACGTCACATGAGTTGTATACATTTAATATGACTTATGCAAAGTATGGGTTATGCGAATCTTATAATAACAATAATAATTCTTGCATTCAATATAGCGCCTTATCACTTCGAGACATCTCAAAGCGCTTCACAGAATATACTGTAAAGTTAATTGACTGTATATTTTGTGGGCGAAAGGCGGCAATCAATTGCGCACAGGAGTGTCCCACAAACAATGGTAAATTGAGTGACCAATTTATTTTTTTGAAAGGATCATTACCCCCGGAAAAACAATCTGTGAATCGACTAACAACCGGGTTCCTACTTACTGCTAGGTAAACAGCTGCATGTGGAGTAAGGAAACTTGCCCAATGTTTTGCCCTGCCGGGAATCAAACCCAGGTCCTCTCGCTTGCAAGGCATATGCCGCACAATATGGGGAGTGCAGAGTAAAAGACACATTGTTATGGCAGAAGTAGCAGGAGCTACTTATTAATAATAGGAAATTCAATGGGAATGGCAGATGTATGACTTAGGCGATTATACCATTTTGTACGGATCAGACTTATGTGAGTTGTACTGTAGTCCAAAATAGACGATGGGGTTGGGGGGTAGTCAGGGGCTGCTTAGGGCTGAGCTGGCCTCAAGTTGTCGTGCCTGGCAACTGAATGTCAGAATTGATTTGATCCAGTCCAGTTCCTGAGCAAGGCTTGTCCACATTACTCCAGGGCACTGCTGAAGACAGACCAGCCAGCCTGGCTCATTGGCATAATTTGTAGATACTATTACCAACTTCAGTTTATGGCCATTTTAAATACGCGTCAGCGATTTTAGATATTTCTTAGTTTAACACATTGTTAGAGTAAGTCTCTGTATTCACATCAAATGTCAGGACAAGGGGGTGCTTCATGCCAGGCCTTGGTGTCAGCCTGGCTTGATTGGTTCCGTTCTTTCCCCTGAGTCAGAAGATTGTGCGTTGAAGCCAAGAACAGGCAGACGGGAGCTCAATTTAACGTCTCATCTCAAGGACGGCACCTGCAACAAAGTAACGCTCCCCAGCATTGCACTGGAGTGTCAGGCGAGATAAAATCCCTTCATGGAGCTAGAGAACCTAATCTAACAATTTGTACTGTGGTAGATCGTGTCACAGCAAAGTTCCCACAGGTCAAGGGATGTTAATTTCCGCTTTGTGGTTTGGGAAAACACTCAAAAACAATACGGTGATGCATTTCTATGCCGTTAAGTGTTTGTCAAACCCTTATTCGTTTGTGCGCAAACATTTTTTTGCAATATATCTAAACAGTTTTTCTCATATCTTTGCGTGTGGGAGTGTGTTGTGTTGTGATGGCTGTTGTTGAAGTCACATGAACATGCAGTATTGGAATAGAAACATGAGTTGTTTAGAGTGTAGAGCTGGGTGTTTGACACGTGCAGAAACCCATCACCATGCTTAAAAGTACTCAAACTGAGCTGAGATTTCCATGCTTCCCACCTACACATGGACATTCCAGAAATAGAGGTAACGCAGAAACTGATCAGGAACTACAATAGCTTCTGAGGGTTCTCCCAATTTGTGCTTTGAGGTGAGATCACAGTTAACATTGTGTTTCTGTTATCAAACAGTGATCTATGAAGAAAAGGTTGGATTGCAGTTTGAAGGCTCAGTGGAGAAGGAATCTTTGGAGCGGGTTAGGCTGCAGGGCATCTTCCTGGTGTTCTTCCTTGGTGACAAGGAGAAAGACTGGCTTCGGACCGAAGGCAGCCAGTTTAGGCTTACTGTCAGTAAAGGACGATGGTTTAAATACATGGTAGGTATACATGGGACAGAAAAACAGAGGGATCTGGACAGATTTGCAAACGGTTGATTAGTGGAATATGTCGTTTATTATGAAACTGGGTTGGGAACAGTCATTATTTGAGAATGTTATAAGCTGGTGGAACAAAATCCCAAAGAGCTATCTTTGGTACATATTGATAGTTCTTGAAACCTTCAGCACATTGTGCAGCAGCTGCAAGGAAGGCAAACTGGATTCTAGGGTGCACAGCAAGAGGACTCACATCACAGGACTCAAGAATGGAGTTGTACAAAGCATTGATACAACCACACTCGGAGTATTTTGTACAGTCCTGGTTTTCATACTGCAAGAGTGACATAAATTGTAGAAAGCATTAATTACAAAGGGTGACAAAATTAATCCATGTGATTGGTGTCTGAGCTAGCAGGAGAGATGGAATAAACTGGTCTCAACAGTTTAATGTGTGCAGGTTTTAATTGCCCTCAACTTTTGAAAATATATGATTTTTGCAAGCATACACCTTAATAGATTTTGCCCAACCAGAACAAACCTTGAAATGGTCAAAATGTTTTATATAATTTATATATTTTGTTAGTTCTATCCACTATTTCCAATGTAGGTTTTTCCTAAATATTTCCATGATATATTTTCCAGTGGAAGAATGGTCAGCAAGATGTGTTACAGAAGAGTTATTTATTCTCCCACAGAAGGTACCCAGATGGAGCTCATTGTTTCCCCCTGCCTGAGACCAGAAAATCATTGGCTGTAAAATAAACCTGCATCACAAAATCACCAGAGATGTGTTGATGAAGAAAGCCCTTAGGTGCAATTGGTCTCATCCCTCCAGAATACCCACCCTGCTCTCCTCCCATTGCAGCATCACGCTGTTTATCAAATTAGCCCAGTATCCTGACTTCAACCACACTTTCTGGGAACCTGTTCCAATTTTGTTCACAGCCTCTCTCAACCTGCCATTCCTTTGAACATTGTTCCTGCAGTAAAATGGATTAGCTCGCTGCCCAATTTGAAGCCATTTATTGCATATCTAAGACTTGAAAGACATCAGGCCTGAAATTCCACCAAGTCTTCGCCAGTCCTAAAATTTAAGATTGTGCAAAATTGTGAAAAATTCTTAAATTCAATATTAAATTGGTCTTCCGCAATTCATCAAGAGCAAATAATAATAATCCTCGCATTTGATATAATACTGAATAAAGAACTTTCCACAATTCTATACAATCTGTAAAGCAAATTGATCATACAGCCTAAGACTAGTTGGAAATTTGGCTTTGCAGAATACTGGGCTCGATTCCTCTGCCCTGCCCTTGACCAGCACTAACTAATGATTGTACAAACTGCAACTCTTCCTCTCAGTAGTGATATGAAACTCCTCATGGCAGATGGAGACCACAGTAGTTCAGTTTGAGTCACGCGTCTTTTAAGTTCTCAGCAGTAAAAATCCCTCCACTGACAAGCACATATTTTGAATTTGGTGTAGAGAATCAAACATTTTACAAAGCAGACTCTTCAGAGACAAGAATCTTCCAAAGTGAAAAACAATTTGTTGCTTTAGTTCCATTAATAGAATTGCTGTTCATGTTGATGATTTATTTCTCTGTCCCTCCTGACTCTTCCTGGAATACAATTTCTGTATCGCTTTGATGACTTGTCCTAGTGCTTGTTCTCCACATGAATTTAGATAGCAGGTGTTGACAAGGCTTTAGCAGCCATCATAGGAAGCCCAATGATGTCCTGACGTCATGTCTGTGTACATGTGCTTTCCAGCAGAGGTCATCAGTCCCCACAGCACTGTCCTGGAAGAGATCAAGTAGTTCAGATAGAGAGGGGTCAATGCCACTACAGTTCATTTATGTGTCCATTGATACACTGTAGGAAGATATGAAACAACAGGTCTACAAGTCTTGTAAAATTCCTACAGCTGTGAATCTTACAAGACTTGTAGATTTGTTTCATATGGGAGGTCAAAGAGGTGGAAATAGACATTTTATTTGTGTGACTTTTAAGTACTAAAGTTGGAGATTATAAATGGAATAATCAGTTGGAAACTGGAACACAAAACTGTGTTTGTGAGAAAAATCAGATATGCTTCACACTTACCCTTGGAGGAAGGATTCTCTGTGTATAGCTAGAACACTTCTGTTTTCTTGACATTTTGCTCTGATTCTCTTCTACTTTAGCCCGTTTGTGTTGCTGGTGACTCAAAGTATCTGGTGGTGGAGCTTCCAGCTAAAGCCAGGAGATGGCTTCATGCCAGATCCTTTCAGCTTTCAGTGCGGATAACACCTCTAATAGCTCAGGGTAAGAATTAATGTTGTTGTTGTCCTTCAACCTGAGACCACTCTGCTGCCCGCAAATCTTGGGAGTTAAAGAAGTTGGTGCTGATCCCTGTGTGGCTTGCCTCACCTTAGAGTATGACATAAACTACTAGCAGAGGTAGTGAATATGCTTGTACGTCACAAAGGAACAATGGAGATACCTCTTCTATTCCTCTTTTACACACAGACAGATGTTTAACTTAAAAACAGCTCGTCACTCTCTCAGCCACTCATGTATTTCCTTGGCCCAAAACTGGTTCAATTTTGTGGAATTTCTTAACAACAACAACAACAAGATTCCATTTATAGAGCACCTTTCACATCGGGAGGACGTCCCAAGGCACTGGACAGTTGGGTCAGGACCCGAGCAGGGGGGAAATGGTCAGGGGGAAGGGAGGGAGCGAAGAGGGGGTAGAGAGTCGAGAGGAGAGCTGAAGGCACGGTCAAAGAGAAAGGTCTTGAGACCGGCCTTGAAGGAGGAAAGCGAGGAAGCAAGGCAAAGGTACTGGGGGATGGAGTTCCAGAGCCTAGGGGCTGAGAGGCTGAAGGCCCGGCCACCGATGGTAGGGCGGTTGGGGCGGGGGATGTGGAGCAGACCGGAGCCAAAGGAACGGAGGGTACGGGCAGGGGGATAGCAGGTCGGAGAGGTAGGAGGGAGCAAGGCCGTGAATGGCCTTGTAGGTGAGGATGAGGATCTTGAATTCTTTAATTTAAATCCATGATGCTGACTTGTGGTAATATCCCAATTCAATCTATTTTTGGATCGGGGTTCCCTCCTGTCGGCGTGATGTGTGTGAGACATACCTCTGGTTACTGGAACGACACCCCACTCAGACTTCTTAAATAAGAAATACCGCAAAATTGAACCCATCTATAAGTGAAAAAAAGTCCTTATAATCCTGGATAGTCCCCCACCATGGTTAGATGTGCATTTGATTGAGTGGACAGTAGGGTCTTTCACATTCCAATTTACAATAATGGTATTATATATTGCTAATATTAATAGCTATTAATAATTAAAAATCCATTGAGATGAAAGATATTGTTTTCCCATCCTTTTGCCTTAAAAAGTTTGCTTATGACGAGGTACGACAGCTTGAAAGTTTGCAGGGAAGAGACAGAAGCCCTCCCAACACCATCAAAGGGCAGTCACTATTCTTGATCCAAAGGCTATGATGTTAACAGTGCATTATAACATACCCTGCAAGCCAAGTATTTATCGCCACTGACCAGATCTAAATGCAATGTCCACCTGAGCTCAATTTACCAGTCTTTTGTTTTTAATGACCAGAGACGAATGGGATGCTAGCTTCAGGTCAGACCATGACCATCAGAGAAGCTGGTGACTGTCCAGAGTCCCTTCTGAAGAAGCTGTTGTTTGGTTGGGATGAAAAGCAATACACCCGTGTTCCGCCCGTCATATTTGGGCTGCTTGAAGGTGGAAGAAACACAAAGGCGAGCGGTTGCGCTGCACGCGAATTCAGAGAAGCCGACAATGAAGGGAGTCTTAAAACGAAGGAAGAAAAAATCCGTAAGAATGCAAAGCTTGGGAAACGTGACTGACGTTGCTTTGAATATGTCTGCTGCCTGAACATGGAGCCACATGGCTCCCCTTATATCCTGTGCATCTTTTTGTTTTGTAATCAAAGGAGGAACTAATTGCTTAAGTATGCAATTAAGGTAAATGTTTTGTGATCATTATAAAAATTGAAAGACCTATTTTAAACTGTTATAGACGTAGGTGTATGTTGCTCAGCTCTGAATTATTCTCCGTTTTAACAGGATTGCTATACCTGGGAAAATACCTGGAAAGAAATGAAAGCACTTAAGTAAACATTTTGTGTTGCGAGAATTTAAGAGGGATACTTTACCATTGGTTATGGACATGTGTTAAGGGGTGCTAATTTATTTTGTAGTGTATCTCATTGCCTAGACTGAAATCAAAGCTATAAATAAATATTTCAAGTGGTTTACTTTGCTGTTCTGTGGTTATTTGTACTTGAGAGCAAACACATTGTTAGAACGTTAAGGCTGTATCTCAACACGTGAATGCAATTCATTAGAAATGGCCACGTGTTGATGGCTTTGGTGTGCAAGAAAATCGAGTCAATGTTATTGCAAAACAAAAGGGACAGAATTGTCCTAGAAATGTACCGTGTTTATTGACAAGGTTTTTGTAAGCTTTCAAGTGTGTTTTACTATTTACTCCACTAGGGGTCAATATTTAGTGAAGAAAGTAATAATAATAATAATCCTTGCATTTGATATAGCGCTTTTCACGTCGGGAGGACGTCCCAAAGCACTTCATAGAACACATTGTAAAGTGAATTGACTGTATATTTGTGGGCGAACGCGGCAGCCAATTGCGCACAGCAATGTCCCACAAATAGTCGTAGATTGAAAATTACCAATTTATTATTATTTTTGGTTTTGGAGGGATTATTATTAGTAAAACGTAAACTGCTAGATAAGACAACAAAATACAACACAACAAAACAGGAGAGGAAGGCAGGTACGCATACTGCGTTTGTCTAGAAAATGAATGATAATCATAAATAGACAGACGTTACATGTTACATGAGTCACTTTACATGAGATGGTATAGGCACTACATCTAATGTAAGGACTATTATTATAGAAGATCTGCCATGATCTAATAAATTGGTTGAAAAAGCTTTAGAGGCTGAATAGCCTCCTTCTATTGCTTCAGATTTCATCCAGCACTAGATGGTGGTTTTTATATCCATCAGAACAAAAATTCTCACCATAAAGACGGTTTTAGTGTGATTTCCAAAATATATATCAATCTTTTTTATGGGAAAATATTTCAAGCGTATTAAATATTTTGCACTGTAGCAAATCGCGAGTATTTCTTATAATATTTTTGGATAAACTTCCAAAGTCATTTTTAAGTTAGTTCTGAATTACTGTTGCAATCCTGATACACAGCTCTATTTTTATACCTTGATTTTCATTATTTGCGATAGTAATAAACAATAATCCTTTGATAAAGGGCCTTTCACTTCAGAGGGAGGCCTCAAAGTGCTTTATTGTAAAGTGCATTGATCGTGGGTGAATATGGGAGCCAGTTTGCTCAGAGCAATCCAGTATTTGCAAGCATAAGATGTATTGCTGTAAAATCCTTTTTTAAATCCTGTCTGGGCTAATCACATCGCATCAAAACATCTCAAAGCGCATCACACAGTTTTCTGTAAAGTGTATTTCCGAGGTCTTCGTATACTGACTCACTAATATAAAAAAAGGTCATTCGCTTCATGGCAGTTTGTGGGACACTGCTGTGAGTAAATTACTGTGAGAAAATAAATACACAACAACATCAACAACAAATTGCATTTATATAGTGTCTCACGTTGGAAAGACATCCCAAGGTATTGTCATTACACTTTACAGTAAAAACTTTGAGGCAACTTGATGATGTGATAAGGCGCTGTATCAAAATGCAAGGTACAAGAGCAGCAGGTTCCCGTGGAACGCTCACTAAGGGATCACCCAATCAGAGGGTAAAGTTAACAAAATTAGCAAAACAAAAACTAATTTCTAGAAAAAGCTCGAAGAACATTCAGCGTTATGAGCTAAATTTGCAATTGTTTGCCCACAGATGAATTCTGCACCGTGCACTTTTTGACCGCTAGAACGTGGAAACAGTGGCATGGTCTATCTTTATCACAAACAGGAAGATACAAGTGCTCTTTCTCTGCCTTAAATCCGCAAAAGCCACATGTGTAGAACAGAACAACATTATCATATGTAGCATGCCAGGTGGTGTAGCCTAACAGTTTATCACAAATGTATTATTGCAAAACCCTATTTAAAAATCACACAGCTCTAGAATCCTGCAAATTCTAAGAGTGTATTTGAACAGCGCCATGGAAGATTTTCCAAACATCATTCATGGGATCCACTGAAAGATCCCTCATCCTGATCTTGAAAGCGTTTCTTAATCCTGCCCAACTGCAATCTTCTTCTGTCTTCAATATCCTCTTGCAAACTTATCTCCGATTGTATAGGGTTAATATACTCCGATTATGCTTCAAGAATCCTAGTGGCCAATTCAAGAGTCATATTTGCATAGGCTTCAGAGGAACTTTGCTCCTTACCCTCGCTCAAAGATGAGAAATTTATACAAGAAATTATTCAGGGAGAACTGAATCAGGAAAAGAAAGGCTATTTGCAATGAAAATTATAGTAAAATATCTCCTGTCAATTGGAACAAAAAGTGCAAGAAGGAAACCTCATACAGTTTTGAGTTTTGCAGTTAACTCTAAAAAAGGCTTTCAAGAGAGTTTCTTTGGGTGAAATGAGCAGGAGCTTAGTTGTCATGACACTTTTAACTGAATAACACCCACTCACTCGTTCAGTCCCTGAATGATCTATCTGTTTGTGCATTTGAAGATCACGTGTGACAGGAGACCTGATATTGTAAAGGATAGATACACATGTGTTAGAGCCAGTTCTTTTCGAAAGAAAAGTCAAGTTGTTATTTATCACACAATCCATCTCTATTTTCATACAGAGTTCCGAGATCATTGGTAGATTCTGCGCATCTACATCTTACAGGAAATACGTTATTTCCGGTATATTTTTGTTCAGGTGTAAAATTTGATTTTAAATTTAATTCATGAATTAGCCATCAATGTAGGAGGTAGAGTCTAATTGGTTCAATGATTTCTTTAATGGTACTGCAAATTATGCAAATTTAACTCCTTAAATATAATATAATTCTTATGTAAGTTTGGACACGATCAAACTGAATATACTATATTGGGTACATCTCACTCTCTAAAGAATGCCTTTTTGTACAATACAATTTACATTTATGTAGCGCTTTCATGTCAGGAGGATATCTCAAAGGGCCTAACACTGCCGGCTGGGCACCCGAGCTGGAGATGGAAGCTGAAAGAGGCAAGGAAAGAAGACCAAAAGCAACAATAACAAAATTACATTAGTATAGTGCCTTTTATTTCGGGAGGAGGTCCCAAGGTGCTGGATAGTCAGTGTTTCGGACTTCTTGACACGGACTGAACAAGGTGAGGGAGAGAGTGAGTCGGAGGGATTGTGGGATGGAGTTCAAGAGAGTGGGGTTAGAATGGCTGAACTATGTTGGTAGTACTCTTGCCTCTGAGTCAGAAGGTTGAAGTTTCAAGTCCAATGCTGTGACTGAGCTCATTGAAAAAAGAAAGGAGTTTCTCCTAATCCAGGAGATAAAAACAAAAAATGGCCAGTTGCTCTTTGGCTATAGTACTTAGTTTTATTGTCCTAAGGTAAATTATTCAGTTCTGCAGTTAATGCAAGAATACTACAGTATTTTGGAATCATTCAACCAGGGAGTCACTGGGTGCAGATGGTTACCGTAATCCCAAACACATTAAGCCTTTGCTTTCAGTGCTGCTGCTATCATTACAATTTCCTAAGCTGTGCCTCTATTTGCTCCATTAAAACTCACGTGTGACGGCAGCTCACTTTAATACTGGCAAGTGATGTTCGTTGCGCCCATGAAGCCTGCATGTACCTCGGCTTCGATCTTACTGCTTGATCATATTGTTTCCCTGACAATGGATGCAATTTATTCCAAAGAATTCATTCCTTTTTTTTAAACGAACGCACACACACACATTCAACAAAACTGACAGCAGGAAGAAATATTGTATATCAATGCATATGCATGCACTGGCAAAACAGATGTAGATCTGACCCTGACTCATAAGGTCTTGCTTGCTTTATGTCCACATCAATGAAATGTTGGACCACATGACTCTGTGGTGCAGAGGTGTTTCTGTCAACTAATAATCAAGTGGAGTCCTGTAACACAGTGGTTAGAGCACTTGCTTTGCAAGCGAGAGACCTGAGTTCAATTCCAGGCAGGGTGAAACCTTGGGGAAGTTTCCTTATTCCACATGCCTGATAATAATCCCTCCAAAACCAAAAACAATAATAAATTGGTTATTTTCAATCTACGACTGCTTGTGGGACATTGCTGTGCGCAATTGGCTGCCGCGTTCGCCCACAAATATACAGTCAATTCACTTTACAGTGTGTTCTGTGAAGCGCTTTGGGACGTCCTCCCGACGTGAAAAGCGCTATATCAAATGCGAGGATTATTATTATTATTATTATTATTGATAGCACTCACCTCTTCCTGAGCTGCAGTGTGGACCACATGATAGCTTAGATATTTCTCATCTAACTCTTGTTTTGCTGCCTCACCGCTGATATCAATAGATCTTTCCACAACTGCTTATCAGCTTGAGGGGTAAAATTCCACTTGGTGCTAGAGTTACTCTATTCAATGTAGCATTTCAGAGTGTATACAATTTGTCAAGTTCCTAAATACAGCTTTAATTCTGAAACTGGCTTTCTGCAGGTTCAAAGTTAAGACTGAATTCATTAAGTTGTCAAATTCTGAACACTCCAGAATAATAATAATACAATATTAATCTGTCTATTTGATATAGCTCCTTGCACATCTCAAAGCACTTCACAGGGTTTACTGTGAAATGGAGTGACTATATTTGTAGCAAACACAGCAGCCCAATTGCGCAAAGCAATGCCCCCAAAACAGCCATGAAACAAATGACCTATTTTATTTGGGGGATGTTTGGCCAGGATATTTGGAGAAACTCCTTTCTTTTTTCAAGTAGCGCCATGGGATCTTTAACGTCCACTTGAATGGACAGGATCTTGGCTTAACGTCTCATCTGAACCATTACACCTCTAGCATTGCATTAATATTGCAAAAATATTTTTATAAGTGTTTGTATACATGGAGTCCTGTAACTCAGTGGTTAGAGCACTCGCTTTGCAAGTGAGAGACCTGAGT